ACCCTGTTGCAAAATTTTAATATATACTTAATAATTTACCACTTAAAGAAAACTATTAATTATTTTCTTATAAAATTTTTTTTTATTTATTTAATTTTTATTTTTTTTAATAATTTTTTATTTTTTTTATTTTTTTTAAATTATTAAATTATTAAAACTTTTTTTTTTATTTTTTTTCTTTTTTTTTTATTATTTTTTTTTTTTTATTGTTATTTTAAATTTCATAGTCACAATAATACACCAATTTATATATATTTTGTTTATTTATATCTTTACATCATTATAAATTTCGATTTTCAACACCAAATAATAAAGTTTTTTAAAAAAGTAATTAATTAAAACAAAAAAAAAAAAAAAAAAAAAAAAAGTAGATCAAATAGTATACAGTACATATATATGTTGCATTTACATTTTATATTTTAAACTTTTACATATTATAAAATAAAATTATAAAATAAAAAATAAATATTATAATAATATTCTATAATTTAATAAAAAAAAAAAAAAAAACCCCCCCTATACCAAGAGCAACAATACCAATACATATTTATATTATATTTCAATACTTTTTTTCTATGTTTGTTTTTGTTAATGGGAAGAACACTGTAGTGAAAGAAAGTGTGTTCATATTATTTGGATACTGTTATAATATGTATATACAAAATTTTTTATTGTAAATTTTTTAAAAAATAATTTCCACACAATATTCATAAATCCAATGCATACCACACAAACACACATAAACACATACTCTACAATACTGTATTACAATACATTATTTATAATTTAATTAATTGATTGTCCAAGTAATATCAATACACATTATTTTTTTTTTTTTTTTTATTTTTTTTTTTTTTATAATATTTCAATAATAAATATTTTTTAACAACACAACAAAACAATAATAATATTTGTTTTTTTAATTTTTATTTCATTTTTTTTATTAATAATATTATTTAATTTTCAATATTTTAAATTTCCAATTATAAAATTGTGTCTAATCTTTTAGCTCTAAATATCTTTAATAATAATAATAATATATTTTTATTTAAATAAAAAACAAAAAAAAAAAAAAAAAAAAAAAATTAAAATATAGTTGTATGGTATCACAGCTGTACCTATTTTTTATATTTACATAATTCAATTTAAAATATTAATACCCACAATAATAATTACCCCTTTAAAAGATAAAATATAAATAGTAAAAATAATACTTTAATTTTTTTTTTTTTTTTTTTTTATTTCTTTCTTTTTTATTTTTATTTTTCCCACCCCTTTTTTTTTTATATTAAAAAAAAAAAAAGTTCCCTATTTCCTCAAAAGTTTTAAAGTTTATCAGATAAAATAAATTAATTATTAAATAAAAAAAAAAAAATAATAAACTTTTTTAAAAAAATAATTAATTTTTTTTTTTAAAATTTTTATTTATTATTGTTATATTGGTTTTTTTATTTAAATTTTAATTTTTTGTTTTTTATTTTTTTAAATTCCCAATAAAAACCACTTGTTATTATTAGGTTTAAATTGTATCACCCCTATTTGTTTTGTTTTTTTTTTTTTCCCCTATTTTTAAATTTCTCTATAACTTTATTTTCAATATCAATATAAATATAAATAAATAATCTAATTTTAAAATATTTCTCTTTTTATAAACGCTAGTAAATTTAATAAAATCTAATTTTTCTAGACACAAAACAAAAAAAAAAAAAAAAATATACTTAAGCTTAAGTATTTTACATAGAAAAAAGAAAAAGTAAAAAGAAAAAAGATGGAATCATATTCACCATCAATTCAAAAATTATGTGTGTTTTTAAAATCACAATCAGATATTTCAAATAATGGCATTTCATTTTTAAATAATTTTCTTACCGATACAGGAAATGCAATTATCGTTGAATCAATCCATTCATCAAAATCACACAAACATAAAACCATTTTAATTGAAGATATTGAATCTGGTCTCAATGTTGTATTTCCATCAGAAATTGCAGATGCCATCATCAATCAATCAAAAGGACGTATCCAACATACATCAATGAAAAATTTAATGCAAGTTAAAACATTTGGTACCAACCAAAATTTATCATCATCAATGGATTCAACATCGCTCTTATCTTCCAACACTAGCAATAATACAGGTGAAGATCTTGATTTGGATGACTCTGATGTCGAAGGGTTTGAAATTATCCCAAATAACAATAGTATTTATGCCCATGATGTTTCTCCTTGTTTCCCAATTGAACTTGTTTTTAAAGTTACTGCAGATTATATCAGCAGAAAGAAATTAATTCACACCAACCCATCCGATTTTTATTCAGTTTTGGAACAACAGGATAGCAATCATGTCATCTATACTTTTATTTCCTATGCTTTAGAGAATATCACCACTAAAATACTCAATAGAATTTCATCACTCGATATAGATGAAGATGTAATTAGATCTTCAATTCAAGAGAACCCAACTTTAAATTCAATACGTCATAAGGTTATTCAAGCTTCAAATATTGCAAATAAATTATTGGCTTCTTCAGACGTCAAAAATTCTGATTTACCAACTTCACTTTCAAATTCATTTATATACAACCAATCATTATCTTCAAATAGTTTATCTAACAGTTTCGATAATGATTTAATAAATGATTCAGACAGCGATGGCGATATTGAAAGATTTAAAAATAATAGTATAATAATTAATGATTATGACGATGATAATAAAAATAATCAAGATAGCAAACTTGAACAAAAAGTAGAAGAAAAGCCAACATCAGTAGCAGCGGAAGAAACAAATAAAAAAGAAGAAATTGACACTAATATTAATATTAATAATAATAATACCGATAAAAATAACGATATTAATAAAAATCTCGATAGTTCAGAAATCACCAAACAAATTAAAAAAGTTGTAGAGGATATATCAAAATCTATTGTAAATAAAAATAATGTACAAAATATCAATAATATAAATAATAAAAATTCCGATGATAACAATAATAGTTTAAAATTAAAAGAAGAAAATATTAAATTACTTAATAATATTAAAACAATTTTAAATAATAGTTCAAACACCAATAAGGTATATGAAGATTTGGCCAACTCAACACAAATTATAAAAAGAACTAGAAAAGTTCCAAATCTATTTAGATTTGATGAGCCAATTGATTTGGTTCAGGCTTTTGTTGATGGTATTCATTTAGAAATTACGTAAGTTAAATAATTTTAATATAAAAAAAAGTAAATAAAAATAAAAAACTAACCAATCCCTTATCCTTTTATTTAATTTCTAGAAATGGAATGTTTTTGGTTCTATTGGTTTTGGTTGGATTTGCTCTCCAAAATTTTGTAAAGGCTAATTAATTTTTTAAATCTTTTTTTTTTTTAATTAAAAAATAAAAAAATACACAAAGTATCCTACATATATTTCCTTTTATAATTTTATAATTTTTTTTTTAATTATTTTTAGGTTGTATATGTAAAATTTTAATAAAAATTAAATCAACTCCTTTGGTCTTTGTTCATTAACAATTTCCATCATTCAGAAAAAAAAATATTTTAAAATTTTTTTTAATTTTTTTTTTTTTTTTTTTTAATTTAAAATTTTATTTTTTTTTATTTTAATTATTTTTTATTATTAAATATTTTTTCAAAAATATTTTTATTTTATTTATCGTTTTGTTTTTCCAAAATAGTTTTATTTAAATAATTTTAAATATATTTTCACTATAGCAGATATTAAGTACTGGTATTTATTTAGGTGTTCAAACTAGGAGGTAAAATATTCATTTGTATTCATTAACACTATTCTTCAATATTGTTATTTAACCACACAGTTAACACACCAACACTTATTCTTTCAATTTACCTTTGAAGGAATAGAAGTAAGTGTGAGTGTGTATGTGAGTGTGTATGCGCGTGTGAGTGTATTTGTGTTGTTTTTAATTTTTTTTTTTTTGTATATATAAAAAGAAAAAAAACAAAAAATTAAAAAACAAAAAAAAAAGATTAAAAATAGGAAAAAATAATTTTAATAATTAAGTGTTATATTTTTTTTTTCTTTTTGTAATATTAATTGTTATTATTATTAAGTTTATATCAACATTATTTTTTTAAATATATTCATTGTGTAATTCTCTTATTTGTTTTCAAAATTTTTTTAAATATAACAATAAAATTTTTTATATTATATAGTTATTTTTATTTTTTTTATTTTTATTTTAAAAATCATAATTATATTTAGTTTTTGAATAAATTTGTTTTTTTTATTTTTATTTTTGTAATGCAATTCGAGGATCCACCAAAAAGTTTAGAGTTAACAATAAATAAAGTTGATAGCCAACCGGTATCACCAATAATTAAACAACCAATTAATAATAGTAATAATAATAATAATTTAGAAGAGCAACATACAGATTCTATTGGATTCTCATCACCATTTACAACATCAACTATATCACTATCATCTTCAATTGCGGGATCAGTTAATAATACACCAAATTTATTATCGGAGTTATCAGTAGATAAAAAAAAAGGAATCTATTCAACCTATTTGGATTTAGATTATTATAATAATATCTATTTAAAAAATAAAAACCAATCTAAAAATAATATTATAAATAATATAAATCCAATATTATCACAGCAACAAAATAATTTCTCATTAGATTCTCATCAGCCTCAAACTCATCCACAATTACAAGATAATATACCATATCATAAAAGAAAACATCATATAGTAAATAATTGTAACAACAATAATAGCATTAATAGTTTAAATAAACTAGACTCTGGCAATACACAGCAAGATAACTTTTTAACATTAAGCCAGAATCAATTATTTTATCAAACTTTTGGTGGCGGATCAAATCAGCATTATTTTTATGATAGACCTAGTTTAATTTATAAACTACCTAATCATCATTTATCATCATCCACATCATCATTATCATCTACATCATCCACATCATCTTCATCACCAAATAGTTTATTTTCATCATCTATTGATTTGTTTTATAGCTGTATAGATAAAAAAAAGATATTATCATTATTTCTAACATTTCCTCAAACTATTGGCACAGATTCATTTGTATTAAAAGAATACGAAAGATTGAAAATGTTACAAGAACAACAAGGTCCAAGACATACCGAAATCCTCTTAAGAAAAGAAGACAACGTCGGAGGAAGAAAGGCATTAAAAGAGAAATTTGTCGAAATCTACGAATCATTTTTTAATGGCGAAGATCCATCCGAAGGCCAACCAATTTTTTGGGAACAATTGTTTTTAATCAAAGTTAATATCCCATTCTTGGAAAGATGCATTATTTTAACATCAGAAGACCACTTATTGGCTTTAAAACCAAATATCAATAAAATATTCACACAATGCTGCCACTGGTTAAAAGATCCAAATCCATTAAGATTAGCCCATATTATTGAAGTTAGTTTTTAAATTTAAAAAAAAAAATTCACACAAAATATTAATTAATTTTTTTTTTTTTTAATCATTTAGACATTAAGTATTTTATTAAAAAGTATATTTAGAAAGAAATTTAATAATTTTGGCTTTGATATTTTAAATATACTTTGTGGTATCGAAAATTCAGATCAAGTTTTTACAGATTTAATTAGAGATTTAGAGAATTTATTAAAAAACCCAACTGACAAAAAAACTAAAGTTGGAATTATCAATCTTTTAACAATTATTGCTACTGCCACTGAATACATAAACCAAAATACACTCTTGCAATACTTTATGTCTGTAGATATCTTTGATACTCTTATTGGTTTAATAGATGATCAAGATTTGGAAGCTAGCACACAAATGAATGTTTTAACTTTATTATGTTATCTTTGTAATTATCAAAAATATGAAACCCCAAATCCATACTTAAAAGATTTATCAAATTTATCAGACACACAAAAGGTAACATGGTCTATATACTTTATCATATCTTTATTATAAATACTAACCTTTTATTTACTTTGCTATAGATTGTCAAATTAACAAATTTAATTTGTAGTGGTATTCATCATCATAACGAATTCTTTGAACAACAATATAGAGATCCAAATTTAGGTATGATGTCAAAATTTAGCGGTTATTTAAGTAGTTGGGTTTATTCCCCCAAAGTTGTTAAACCATGGTAAGTTTATTTTTTAAAAAAAATTTTTTTTGGAAATTTATTAACATTCTCTCTTCTCAAATATATAGTACATTTTTTGAAACCGTATCATGTTTATTGGTTTTATATGAATTATTTTATCAAAGCGAACATTTTATAAATTTATTGGTCAAAGGTGGATTACCAAGTAATAATAACTCAACATGTCCAAATATTATCAAAGAGTTTTTTACATTTTGCGCCTATTTGGCATCAGATGCACAAAAAGAAGTTAAGGTTATCTACTCAAAGATTTGTCTATTAATTTTATTATTAATTTCAGAAAAGAACGAATTAGAAGAGTTTTTCCATGATATCAAATCAACATGTTATATTTTCATCTATTCAAAGAAAACACTGTTCCAAGATCCAAAAGAAACTGAAAAATACCCATTATCCTATTTTGCTTTAGATATTATTTCACATTTTATCAAATGCAATTTGAAAGGTAAAATATCAATGGAGATTCATCAAACTGCTGTTGACGCTATTCATAGAATTATATCTTATAAAAAGAAAACTCAAAATCGTTTACCATACAAATGGAATGATCTTTGGTCAACTCTATTTTCAATAATCAATCTTATTGTTTCAAATAATGACAAGTCACAGTTAAATCAATCAATTCAAGTAGGTTTAAGTGTAAGTAATGAAATAATATATATAAAGTTAAAAAAAATACTATTACTAATACTTTTTTTTTTTTATTATTATTAATAGGCCATAAATGTTTTTAACCTTTTTATTAATTATGGTGACTCATTTTTGCCAAGTCCAAATGACTATGATGAATTATTTTATGAAATTATTCGTTCTGGTCAATCCATCGACAAACTATACCAATTTATTCAAGACAATTCACCATCACATAGTACCAGCACACCACAATCACCAATACAACAATCAACTACAGTACCACCACAATCACCAGTTCCAGAATCAAATAATCCACTTTTAAATCCACTTTTAAATATTAGATCCATTGTTCAACATTTTACCTCCAAACTTCAATTATGGAGCACTGAAAATCCTGAAGTTGCCCTCACTGCTCCACAAGTTTCCAAAATTATTAAAGATAACTATGACACATTAAGACTCAAGCTTCAAGAAAATTTAGATCAATATGAACCATACGTTGAAAATCCAAAAGAAATTTTACTATTTAGACATATTGTTAAAGAATTAATTGGTGATGTCAAAAAGCAAATCAATGTAATAAATCTTTAAATAGATCAAAAAAAAAAAAAAAAAAAAAACCAAACAACATAAATAAAAATAAAAATAGTTTTTTAAATAATTTTTTTTTAAATTAAAAAAAATATAAATATAAAAAAATGGATATTATCTTTTAAATTTTTATAAAGTAATTATAACAATGGTGTGTTTTCATTGTTTATTGATATATTTTTAGCGTTTATATTGTTATTTTGCATATGAACTGGTATTATTGAATAAGGAGTATTATAGCTTTTATAAATATATATATAATATTTTCCATTTTTATAATGCTTCATTCCATATTTTTTTATATATTGAAATTTAATTGAACGATTTTCATAGGTTTCGTTTAGGTATTGTATTACATCACAAGTATTTTTAAAATGCTATAAAAAATTTTTTTTTAGAAATCGATTAATATTTTTTTTTTTTTTTTTTAAAGAAATAAATAATACATACATCTTTATTTATAAAGAATATACTTGGTATTGAAAGTATTTGAAAAAAACTAATTATACTTAATAAAATTATCCAAGCTTTTAAATTTTTTATCATTACACCAAATAAAACATTTAAAACTGATAGGAAAAAAAAAAGTAACAAAAATTTATGAATCCTCCTTATTCTTTTTTTATTTAAATATTGAAATTTATGAATTACATCGTTATTTAGTTCCTGAAGTGACAACCTATTTATTAACTCTGTTGGTAATATTTCTAATTTATATAATCTTTTATTTAATCTTGGTAATTCTATTTTAAAATAATCTTCCTCCTCTTCTGACATTATTATATATTAAAAAAAAAAAAAATATTAAAATTAAATATAACAATATTATAATGATAAAAAAAAAAAAATATTTAAATTATATTTATTTGGTTCAATAAAATGAGACTTTCTTTTTTCTTTTTTTTTTTTTTTATACATTCCCCAGGTAGCGTCTCTTTTTGTTTTTTTTTTTTTTTTTTTAATTTTTTTTTAATTTTTTTTTATATTTTCTATTGGATATTTTTTTTATGATATCCATTGGGCATCAATGACAATTTTGATTTATTTTATTTAATTAAGTTTTATGCATAATAATATTTTATAATAATAATCAAAATAAAATTGAATTTATTTTCAATTTAATATAAATAATGAAATTTTATATAGATTGATCGGCTTTGTGAATCAAATATAAAAATTTTAGAAAAACAAAGAGACAATAATTGTTTTATTTTATTTTTAGTAAATCATAACCTACATACTATTTAGACTAAACTTTTTTCCCCAAAAAATTCAATTTATCAACTCGAACCCTCTTGTGAAATGTTGACTGCATATGGTGGATAACTTGAACCCAATAACATTGGTATCCAATCACTACTTATTAAATATCATTTTAATTCATTCTTCAAGATAAGAATTATTTTATAAAGCAATTTATATTAATCAACTCTTTTTAAATCAAATAATTGATGTCTTATAAAAATTATTCTATTCATGATTTTTATGAGGTTTTTATTTTTTTTTTATTTTTTTAATTTAAAGTAATTTACTTTTTTGGTAATAATAATTAAATAATAATATTGGGTTATAATTTATATTAAATAAATAAAATGGATAATAATAATAATAATAATAATAATAATAATAATAATAATAATAATAATGTTAATATTAATGAATATATTTTTCTAAAATAAATCAATATAATTTATATTTTTTATTTTTAAATTTATTTTTTCTTTAATTCATTAAATAAAGTTCCTTGTTGGAGCTCTTTGACAGCTTCATCACATCCGCCTATTAAAACACCTTTAACAAAAATTTGTGGAAAGGTTGGATACTGGAAATGCATCTTGAGGGCTAATCTTTCGCCCCACATTGAAAAATAACCACCATATTCTAAATATTTATGGGAAACACCGGCATTATTTAACTCTTTAACAGCACGTGAGCAATGTGGATTAAGGTGCATACCAACAACTACAACATCATTTTCTTTAATGGCATTGGTTACTTCAGTAATAATATGTGGGAAATAGTTTTTTTGAAAATTTTTAACATTTTCAGTAGCATTTGGATAAAATGATGGAAGACTAGCCATTTTGATAAATTTATATATGAAAAAAGATATAAAGAATTGTTTATTATTTATTTAAATTGTTATAAAAAAAAAAAAATTTTGATTTTTTAAAAAAAAAAAAAGGTTAAAAAAAAGTTTTTTTTAATTTTTAAAAAGAACACACGTAATTTTTCTATGGCAGTGCAATATTGAAATAAAAAAATGTTTTGCTATTAATTGCTTGTAAAAAAAAAATATCGTCATTTAAATAATTTGTACAACTTTACTTTTTATTTATATTTTATTTTTATATTTTTTATATTTTATTTTTTTATTTTTTAATATTTTTATAATCATATAATATTTACATAATATATATAATAAATAAAAATAATTTTTTGAGTGTGTGTGATATGTGATTATTAAGAAATAAAAGAAGATTTTGGTGAATAATTTGAAGATTCGAAATTTGCTAAATTATCATTCTTGCTTCTTTTATAGTCCTCTTTTACAAATAAAAGTAAAATTAATGATATGCCAGAGGCACCAACTAAAACCCAATTTAAAAGTTGAGCAGGGACAATGGAGCAAACCATAATGGCTACAAATGTTATTACATTGATTAAAATCGAGATGATAGCAGTTCCAACCGATTCTGGAACTGGATAGCTGACTTCTACAGCAGCTTCGTAAATAATTGGATAGTAACTGTTGATTAAAAAGCCACCAACCACATTTAAAAATTGACCTAGCCAATACCAATCTGGTAGAGTGTCCTCTACCAAAAGTGAGAACAAGACATAGACTACTGTATTGAGACTAAAGATTATAATTAAAAGTTTTTTATAATTGTGAACACGATCGTGAATCCAACCAAAAAGCAAACCACCAACCATACCTGCAATGATACCAAAGAAACCTAACCATTTAGCTTGAGTTTGGGTATATATCTTTGAAACGATCTCTACAAATACGGCACCCCATCCCGCATAAACACCACTTGTTAATGCACATGAAATACATAATAGTGCAGCACTTGGCTCTGTCATAAATTCACCTGATTGAACTACTAATTCTTTCCAACTTTCTAAAAGAGTTTTCTTTTCCCTGTAAACTACACTGCTATCTACTAGCTTTTTATGATTCGATTTTACATCAGAAAAATATGATGTTGCTGATGGTGGTGTTGGTGGCTTCTCTGGGAAATAAATACAAACTAAAACGAAAAGAGCTACAGCAAAACCTGCCTCGCTATATAAAAGTATTTTGAAGTTTTTATCGTCGGTGCAAACTAAAGCTAAAAGAAAACCAATTGCTGAACCAATAAAATTTGATAAAGTTCCAATAGCAGTTGAAAGAGTACGCTCTTCGGGTGCAAACCATACAGCTGATATTTTGGTTGGAACCACCATAACACATGGACCTGCACTTGCATTTAAAACTTGACCAATTATAATTAAAAAAAATGTTTTATCGCCACCCATTGGAATACATCTAATTACTCCACCTGCGGCAACTAAAAAGGCGGCTATTAATATATTTTTTCTGATACCATATCTTCCAATAGACCAACTGAATATCATTGAGAGCGGTATAAATACTAAAGGACCAATTGCACACAACCAATTAATACTCGATATTGAAGTATCGTAAAATTGTGATGCCATGGGTGCCACCGTACCAAAAGTAATCCAAAAATTACATTGATTTAAAGACAATAACATAAATATAAACAACACCCACCATCTACTCTTGTATACCTTGAATGATGTATTTTCGCTACTTTGCTTTGGCAACAAATCCGATATTAATGGATCATCTTCATCATATGGCGAATTGTTGGGATCTTCATTGATAATATTAAAATTGTAGTTATCTATAAACCCGTTACTATTATAGCTATTATTGGAATTGTGATTTGTGTAGTAATATTCGTCTATATCATCTATATTTGATTTCATTTATTATGATTTATTATTAATAAAAAAAATTTCTTTATTCTCTATTATTATTATTATTATTATTTTAATAATAAATCCTTATTGATTGATTGATAATTTTATTGTCTATTTTTGCTATTATTTTTTTAATTAATTAAAAAAATATATTTTCATTAACAATATTAAATAATATCTTATTTTTGCTGATTTGTTTATTATTATAATAAAAAAAAAAAAAAAAAAAAAAAAAAAAAAAAAAAAATATAGGGTTTATTTTTTTAATTGATTTTAATAACAAAAATACAAATAAAGTAATAAAATTATAATTGTTTTAAATTATAATTGTTGTATGGGTCTAAAATTTCTCTGTATGTTGGTTGTGAAACTAACCAGTTAGTTTTTTTTTTGATAAAAAAAATATTTATTTTTTTTTAATTTTTTTAATTTTTTTTTTATTTTTTTAAATTTTTTTTTAATTTTTTTAATTTTTTTTCTATATTTTTTTTTAATTTTTTTTGATTGTATCCTGGTTTTGTTATTTGATGAAAATATGGGTTTGTTAAATGTCAAATTATTAATCTGATTTTATAAAATATTGTGATAAATGATATTTTTTTTATTTTTTTATTTTTTTTATTTTTTTATTTTTTTTGTTTTAATTTTTTTTAATTTTTAATTTTAAATTTAAATTTTTTAATTTTTTAAATTTTTTAAAATAATGATATTTCCATCCCAATTTATATATCTAAAATAAAAAATTAATAAAGTAAAATATGAAATCTTAAATAGATTAAATTAATTAAAGTCTATTTATTATAAAAAATGAAAACAAAAATCTCTATTATTGGGTCTGCTAGAGAACCTTTATTAAAAAAACAGCATTATAGTTATATGTACGACACATTTAAGAAATTTTTAAAAGATAATAATATTAATAGCAACGATATTATTTTAGTAAGTGGTGGTGCCGCATGGTCAGGTAATTAATTAATTAATAATTAAAATAAAAAAAAAAAAACAAAAAAAAATTAATTTAAAACCAATATTCATTTTAATTTAAATTTAGATCATGTAGCAATTAAAGCATTTTTAAATAATTTAGGAAGTGAATTAATAATATATTTACCATGTGAACTAATCAAAGTTTCATCTTTATCAACCAATTCCCTAGATAATGACGGTGAAAGTTCAAACTATCAATTTAAAGATAATGGAAATAAAGATTGGGACTATAATCCAGGTGCATCATTAAATTATTATCATAGGATATTTAGCAAGGAGGTGGGGGTCAACAATTCGATTAATGAAATTATTAAAGCAAAAGAAAAGGGCGCAACTATAGACACTACATCGAATGGATTTCTAGAGAGAAATGACCGGGTTTCAGATTCAGATATTATCATAGCATTCACCTTTTCAAAAGAAAGTGAACCTAAAAAGGGTAGTGGCACCAGCTACACATGGGAAAAAAGTAAATCAAAATTTAAATATCACTTTACATTAAATTAAAACCATACTAAATAATATTACATTAAAAAAAAAAAAAAAAAAAAAAAAAAATAAATAAATAAATAATTATTATAATATATAGCGCATCATTTTTTTAATTTAGAAATAATAATTGGTATTTATTTTTTAAAAAAACTTATTTCATTTTGTAGATATAATATTAATATTTTTTAAAAGAATTGGACCATTAGCATATTAAATAATAATAAAAAAAAAAAAAGTAATTTATTAGATTTATCTTAACAATTTTTTTTTTTTATTTCCACATATTCCATCGTATATTATTATTATCTCAAAAGATAGATCTAATATTAATAGCTATTGCTAAATATAAAAATTGCTAACTCATTAATAAAGAATAAAAAAATAAAAATAATTATTTTTTTTAATGCACATAATAATTTGGTTTGTATGCTATAATAGTAATAGCAGTAATAATAAAAATAATTTTTTTTTTTTCAATAACATTTTATAAACATATACTTTAAATATCACTGTACTTTTTTTTTTTTAAAAAAAAAATACTTTTGATAATATTTTATTATATTTTATATAAATAAAATAATATGCAATGTCTTTAAATAATGATACATATGAATATTTTTGCCCACCTCCATTATTATTTAGGAACTTGACAACTAGAGAGGATGATATTTTAAATGGTTATATATATGTTGGTGAGACTTTATGTATACTCGATTGTCCGTATGTATTATTAGATAATTCAAAATTTAAAACTAGTTACTTAGTATATATTAATTTTATATATAATAATTTAGGTCTCCATTATTTACAATTAGAGAGTGGGATATGTTTTATATAATGTCAATTGTTATGGGTGGTATATCCATGATTGCTTCTTTATTTTTAATAATAACCTATAGCCCAATAATAAATAGAAAGATTAATAAAACTTCACTTGCAATATTATCGATGGCAGTTAGTATCTTTTTAATGTCCTCAACAGATGGTTATCAAATATGGGATGTAGACAGGGGATTCACTAAATATTGCCCCGATAAAGGTAGATATGCCAGACAATCCGATCGAAGTTGTTTAGCAACAGGATTATTATTTCAATATGGCTCAGTATCAGCAATTATGTGGTGGTCAGTTTTAGCATTTGATTTGTGGATGTCGATAAAAAAGAAAAAAACAGGTAAAAGACAAATATTTTATTATTTTATAGGTATTAATATTATTTCAATTGTGTTTACCCTAGCACCAATAGGCCATAATCAATATGCTTATAATACGGCTTCAATTGGATGTTGGCTATCCGAATTAAAATATCAACTTGCTTTTTTTTTTATTCCACTTGCAATAGTCCTAACATTTGGTTCAGTTTTTATAGTTTTAATTCTATATGAAATTTATAAAGTAAAATTTATTATTTTTTTAACAATATAAAAAAGTTATTAATTTTTTTTTTTTTAAAGCTATCAGATATAGTGGAGAAAAAAACATTAAAAAAATATATTAGACCTTCAATATTAATTATATTGATGTGTTTGGAATTTTATTATATGGTAATATATTATTCCTATATCACCAAAGATGAAAAGAATGTAGAAAAAAGACTAGTTAATTATATTATATGTTTATTCGAAAATGAAAATAAACCAGGAGGTACAGATAAATGCCATTTTAAAACTCTGTCACCATCAGCACAATTTATATTTTTATTTTCATACCGTATTATGGGTTTAGAAGGTTTGATATTCTATGGATTTACTACTCAAACAAAAAAAATTTGGAAAAAGTCTTATTTATTTAATAAGTTAATTAGAAAACCATCCTATGCAAAACAATTAACAAAATCGAATAGAACCTCTCAAATTTCTTTAAAAAGTAAAGGATCTACAAATAATATTAAAGAAGATATACAACTCTCCCAATTAGATAATACAAATAATACAGATAATGGAAATACAAATATCAATATAGAAAATAATACAGACAACGACGAAATACATATAAAACCTTAATTTAAAAAAAAAAAGTTTATTTTAAATATTAAATAGTAGTTAAAGAAAATAGTTTTCTTTAAATTTTAAAAAGTGTGTACAAATAAATTAAACTATAACTAGTTTTGATGATTATTTTTTTCATAGTCATAGTTGTTATTATTATTGTTATTATCATTATTATTATTATCATTATTACTGTTATTGTCATTCACCGAAACATTAATTGTTACATCTGTTTGTTTTTTAGGAGATTGTTCTGCTGAATGGTTACTATGACTACTATGACTACTATTAATATGATTTTGAATATTGCTATTGCTATTGTTATTATTATTGTTATGCATATTATTTAACTCTATAATTGAAGATAACCTAGTATTTCTTCTTCTAACCTCTAGATTACTAACAGTTCTTTCAAATATTGGTTCTTTATTTGTTTCGAATGAATCTTCATCAGGATCATCTTCAAATGTTTTACCATTCTTCATATATTTATCTGATATATCTCTGAGATAGAAAATAACTTTAATAATTTTTGAATCTAGTTGTAATTGCCATTTCTTTGGGAGGAAGTATTTTAATGAGAAGAGGAACAAGAGAAGTAACAATATTGTATACAAAACTACTACAACTGATAAAATAATTTCTATACCTTTGGAGTCATAAAGATTTGTGGTTTTTAATGATGCTAAAATTAAAATGCAAACATAACTGAATAAAAGAACTGAGTTTCCTAAAACTTCTGCAAAGTTGGATATTTTATATACATATGGTTTAAACATTAACTGTGTAACAATGGATGAGCCTACAACTAAAAGAACTACAAAGATACTGAATGAACTCTTTGGATCGATTAGAGCAAGAGATACAGCCATAAAGAATCTTCTTCCAACAGCTACAAGTTCGTACCAATAAACAGATTTTCTATAATCGATATAAATGGAACCAACCATAAGTAAAACATTTGGATGATCTAATCTCTTTCTGTTGTAGAACAATAATGTGGCGAAAAGTAATGGAATACCAACGATATAGATGATTGTAAAAGCAATGGTTACTCTTTGAACTGTAATATAAGTATGATTGTCGTTGCTGCATTGAATATATGGGAAGAAAGACATGTAAGACTCGCCAGTATTTTCATCTTTATCACATGGGAAATTTTCAAAGAGATAGTTGCACAATGGTAAATATAAAAAGTTGAGCATTAATAAATTGACACGGACACCAGAGTAAAAGAATCTCTTTTCGATAGTCTTTGTTTTAATGTATTTGTAAAGTTGCATTCCAAATATAAATATAACCGATAAGAAAAAGAAAACAAATGGTAAACAAAGCATAACTACATAAAGGTTTGGCCAAGCACTGAATCTATTTATACATAAGAAACCAAATGAAAAGTTTAACCATGATGAACCTGAGTAAAATGCACTAAAGAATGATGGCCATGGTGAAAGTTTAGAAAGCAGCAAATTGAATACTTGGTAGTAATACATCAATGTTTTTCTGGTACTTGATGGTAATGATCTTTTTGGATCTAGATTATAAAAATAAATTATTAATATCTTTTTTAAAAATTAACCCCAATTTATCTACTATCTATATTAATAATTACCTGTTAAAACAAAATATAAGAATAAACCTATAAAAATTAAAACCACAATAACAAAGATAACATATTGAACTGAACCAGTTGGGCAATTTGCACATTCGACACCTTTTCTGTAATAACCAGATTGGCATTTTGAACATAATCTATCTTCATAACCTTCAGCACAAGTAAAATTATAACCATTGTCTGGATTGCATGGAGTAAAGCCAAAATTTGATACACCACATTTTAATAAATACTCTGGGTCTTCTATTGATGGGAATGGGAAATAACCAGTTGGAATTAAAATTTGATTACCACCACCTGGGCAAAAAGAGTCCTCTGGGCATAAGAAGCATGTACCATTAGAACCTCTATAATTGATATCACATTTGCAAAAAGTATGATTATAATATGATGGATCTAATGTTACTCTCATAGAGTTTCCATTACCAATAACTTGTGGACATGAAAATGATTCACCATTTGCTGAATGAATCATTTGATCGCTTGGTTTCATAAAATCTGGTAGAGTTCCGTCACCTGATGCCAAATATGGGTTACCTTCTAAATAGAGAGTTGATAAATAATTTAAACTTTTTGGGATTGCACCTGAAAAGTTATTGTAACTTAGATCCAATGTATCTAAGTTTGGCATCCAAGAGATATATTCGTTAAGTTCGCCCGATAAATAATTTTGTGCCAAATTAATAATAAACATCTTTGTTAATAACTCTATTTGTCTTTCACTATCCCATACCATGTCCTCTGTAAATTCACCTGTTATTTTATTTGTATGAGCTGAAACAATTGTCAACTATATTTATTAAATTTAAATTTTTTGTTAATAAAAGAATTATTATTTCTACAATTTAAAAAATATTAAATAGATTATTACCTGTGTATGATATTTGATAGGGTCTATAATTTCACTAAGAGTACATGTAAAATTATTATTTTCAAGTGCAATTCTAGTTAATTTATTTAAATTTTTAAAAGTCTTTGGAACAAAACCACCTATATTATTATTTGCAATGTTAAAGAATGTCATATTTTTAAAATAACCTATACTTTCTGGAATTGTGCCCTATTTAAAAAACTTTAATTAAAACTATGACCTTATAATATAAACATTTAATTATTATACATACTGTTAATTGATTATTTGAAAAAACAAACTCTGTAATATTTGTTGGAATATTTGTTGTGCAATCTGGTAAAGATGTAAAGTTATTTGAATTAAAATTGACAACTGAAACATTTGGGAGAATACATAACCAATCTAAACTTCCTGAGAATTGATTGCCTGAAAATTTAATAGACTTTTGTTATAATATAATACTGTTAATAAGTGTTTAATATATAAATATACATATTTTATTAATATACCTACATATAAATTTGGATTATCTGTAAATACTCCATCTAATGAACCTGAAAATTGGTTTCTTGATGTTTCAAATAGAGTTAAATTTTTTAAATTTGAAAAAGTTTTGGGTATTGATCCCTAATTTAAAAATAAAAAATAAAAAATACACAAAAAAAAAGCACAGTTAATATTGATTTATTTAATATATAATATATTAATACCTACTGATAAAAAGTTGTCATATAACCAAAATTGCTCGAGAGTTTTTAAATTACCTAATTCATCCGGTAATGAGCCATGTAAACTATTGATACCAAAATCTAAAAGACGTATTTTTGGGATACTACCAACATGAGGAGGTATTGTCCCTTCTAATAAATTTTCTTCGAGAAAGAGTAAATCTAAATTTTCGTATTTTGAGAAATCAGCAATTTCACCAGAGAATTGATTTAAAGCGATCCACAATGTTTTGATACTAAGTGGTAAATATAATGCCCATGTTAAATCACCTTCGAATGAATTATCATTTAAAGACATATACTGTAACTTGTTCATATTTTGAAAAACACCATTAGGTATAACACCCGACATTATATTATTACCCAACTCTAACTTTTCCAAGTGAATCAACCCTGAAAACTCATCAAAAAAATTACCACTTAAATTATTATTTTGTAAATCGATTGAAACTACTGCACTACCACCACTACCATCTGTGAGATCTATACATTCAATTCCATACCAATTATTTGTGCATGGGTCACCTTCTAACCAGTTTGAATTATCGTACCATTCGTTGCCATTCCATTCTTTATATAACTTTTCTAAAATTATTTTTTCACTTCCCACTATTTGTAAAATATTATTTGATTGTCGTAGGGAAAAATTTAATTTTAAATTCTCTTTAATTGACTTTATTTCTCTACTTTTAATTTTATTTCTATTCAATTTTTCATGATGAATACTATTATATTCATCATTTCTAATTGAGATCGAGATTGAAATAAATGAAAAAATTATAAAAATAATTTTTAACAATTTCATTTTTTTTAATATATTTTTTTTAATATATTTTTATATTTTTAAATTAAACAATTATTTATTTATTTTTTTTTATTTTGTATTATTTATTATTTTATTATTACTATCATTTAAAAATTATTTTGGTTACAATTAAATAATAAAAAGTTGAAGAGAAAAAAAAAAAAAAGAAAATTGGTTAAGTTTATGTGTGTTTTTTTACGAAAAATTGATTAAAATAAAAAAAAAATTTTAAAAATAGAAATTTTTTTTTTTTATTTAGAATCGATTATATTATGTTGATTTTTGACTTTTCAACCTCGTTAAATAAAATATCTTTTATTTTCAATATTTTTTTGCTTTATTTTTTTTTTTTTTGTGCAATACATTAATACCTTTTCATTTTAATAACATTTTCAAAAAAAAAAAGGTGGTTTTCAAAAACCGTGTATAAAAAAAAAAATATAAAAATATATTTTTTTTTTTTAATTATAAAGAACTATAAAAAATCTATTATTTGAAAACTAAGTTACAATAACACAAAAATGCAGAGAACGTTGACCAATAAATAATCTCAGATAGAATGGTATTGCAATGTTATCGAGGTTTTATTATGCATTTTCTATTTTTTTTTTTTTTGTAAACCAAAAAAATGATTTTGAAATCTTTAAAAAAAAAATAAAAAAAAAATACCCATTGGCTTTTCAAAAAAAAAAAAGATAAATATAAATACCTTTTTGTGTAAAGAAGTAGAATTGCAAAAACGTGGGGTTGTTTGTTTTTTTTTTTTTTAAGATATTTGGAGTACCCCACAGCGAAAAATAAAGAGATTTGATGATCATCAATTTTTTTATAATATCTATATAAAAATTTGATAATGTGTATTAAATAAATAAATAAATGAATAAAAAAATAAAATAAATAGTTTGATATTAACAAAAAGTTTTTTTAAAAAAAATTATATATTTTTTTTATTTTTTATAAATAATAGAATATCAATCATCAAAGTCAAATGTATTATTATTATTATTGTTATTGTTATTATTATTGTTATTATTATTATTATTATTATTATTATTATTATTATTATTATTATTATTGTTGTTATTATTATTATTTGGTGGAGATGATGATGATTGTTGATCATCATTTAATGAAATTTGTTTTGATGAAACCAATTCTTGAATTCTTTGTTGAATTGAGTCTTTAATTAAAGATTGAATTTCTTTTGTGAATGATATTTGTCTTTCAAGGATAACTTTCGAAATATCATCAATTAAAGCACCAGTATCAAATGTTGAAACTGCTTTGTTAGCTTGAGTTTGTTGAGATTCTGATAGTGTTGGTCTTGGTTTTAGAGGTTTCTTTGATGAAGAGGATGGCTTATCTTTTGATGATTGTGGCTTATTGGGCTTTTGTGATGACATTGGAATACCACCTGTTATTGCACTAGCTTCATCGAAATCATCATATTTGCTTTGGTCATCATCATCATATTGGCTTGCATTATCATCATTGTTATGAGTGGCTGTGGCTTGACTTGCGTTATCGTCATCATCTACATCGGTGCTACCTTCTTTGAGACCTAAAATTTGTTTCCAAAGATGTTCATCTAAATTAATTTCATCACCTAATTGTTCTTTTAATTTCTTTTTTTCTTTTACTTTTCTTTCCATTTTAGATTTTACACTGATAGCCTTTGAATAAGATGATTCCATGATAGCAATATAAATGTTGGAAATGCAGTAAACTGAAATGAATACAAAGATAAAGAAGTAAATCTTTGAAATAATTGGATCTTTTTCAGTAGCACGGAATGTAGCTTGAACATCATCACCATTTTGTAAACCAAATAGAGTAATAGCGGCCTCACCAAACGAAGCAAATCTAAGAGTATGTTCCGAGAACACCATTAAACCAAACAAGCAAAAACCAATAAAGATTGGAAGACTACCGGCAGAGAAACGAATAATTTCTGGGAGACCATTAAGTAAAGCACGAATGAGTGATGTTGATTTCTGATCAAATTCTAAATAACGAATTAAATTAATCCAAGAGAAAAGACAACTTAAACCAATTAAAACCTTTGTAGCTGTACTGGATGCGGTACCGGCTACTTCGAAAAAGTCTAGAATTGCACCAGCAACTGTCAAAACATTACTGATCAAGCAAAGAACAAACCATAAGTTAAAGAATCTTAATTTTGTACGCCAATTTAGACTCTTCCAATTGAGCTCTACTGTGAGGATTGAACGTGTTGAATTACGACGAAGGAGACGTTTAGTACGTTGATATGCTTTAAAAGAGAATGCAAAAGATCTCCATGCTAAAATTTGGCTGAGAATTGAGAAAACAATAACTAATGAATCTAAAATTAACTTTGATGACTGTAATAGTTTACTGTATGGTGGTTCTGAAACTCTGGTTTTCTCGGTATGAATTGAACACTCTATACGGCCAGCTTGTTCTTTTGCATCGAAAATAATATAGACATCCCAGAGATAAGCCACAGGGTGGTCATATTGTAAATGTACATTTGTAAAACTATATTTTATCTTCATATCGTACATACAATAAAAAAGTTGTTGAATTCTTGCAATTTCGGCTGGATCTTTGGTAGGATAACCTTCAAATGGTCCAATATCCTCTGAGTTGATGAGAATTTCATTTGAAACTGTCTCTGTATTTGCATTTGCGAGTGATGTATCAAATACTTGGTCACAATGTATGTAGGATCGTATTGTTAATGTTGCATTGTATGGTGGATAAAAATCACCATTGGTGGGTGAGTAAACTTGGAACTTATTTACTGATGTCTCTTCTAATTTATCATATGCTTCCAATCCATCTCTTATAAAATTTACAGTATCATTAATATTATATAAATACATTAAATTTGAACCGTAATCCCCTTCATATTGAAAATCTGTTGGAAAAAATATGCTATACCATGTTGCCTCGATACCAACTGAATAAATTGTTAAGTCACCAGTTTGTAAACAAATCTAAAGTAAAAATATAATAGTTTGTTAATAATGTGTAGATATAAAATAGTACTGTTTTGTGTATGTGTGAATACAAACAATTAATGTTAAACAAACTGTAATAATTAAATGTATAAAAAGTTTAAAAGGGAATCTATTATATTTTTTCCATTTTTCGAACCAATTTAAATTTAATCTATCTTCTGGAGGCATTTTACCGACAGGTAATAATAATTTTCTAAAAAAATCTTTAATCTGTATATAAAACGGTTTCTTTTTATTGTAAACTCCATTACTATTGTTATTGTTACTGTTACTACTATTTAGCAATGATGATTTAGAATCATCATTTATATTTAATCTTTCCATTTCAATTATTTTTTCTTTTTTTATTTTGTTATTACAAATTTTTTATTATTTATTATTTTTGTTGCTGTTATTTAAATCGAGGTAATATTAAAAAAAAAACATAAACACATCGACAAAACTATATTTTTTAAAGATTTTAAATATCATATCATTTGTAAGAAATCATATATTATTATTTTTATTATTATTATTTATTTTATTATTTTATTATTGTTATTATTATGTTATTATTGTAACTAAAAAAAATAAATTTGGATAATGTTTCTATTATGAAAACTACCACAATAAAAAGTTTATTTTTTTATGTTATATTATAGTGATATTATTACTATTGGTTTATATAATCTTAAGTTTTATACTATTATAAATAAAAATGTTTTAAATAATTTAAAAAAGAAAAATAAAAAGAAAAAAAAAAAATTAATAAAAAAAATAAAATTTATTTTTTATTTTTTTTTATTTTTATTTCTTTTTTTAAAATTATTTTTTGAAAAAATTTTTAAAATTGAACCAGGGTAATCGCTTGTGCATATTCACACATTGATTTGTGCCAAAAGCCAATTATAAAAATAAGAAAAAATTGGAATGGTCACCAACAAAATAATTTTATTTTTCCTATGATAAAATAAAATAAAAAAGGTATTTTCTGAAATCCCATTTATTTTTAAATTGAGTTATTATATACATTATGTTAAAAATTTTTATTTTTTTATTTTGCGTAATCTCAACTATATCTTCGGAATAAAAATGAATCCATATTATAATTGATTTGAAAGTGAATTTATGTATATTTTATCTTTCCATAAAATTTTTAAATAAATAAAATTTTATTATTAACAATGAATCCTAAAATTTTGGTTGATTATTGAGATTTTTCACTTATTTCATTTTGTTTTTGTTGTTGTTTTGGTTCTTTTGGTTCTTTGGGTTGTTTTGGTTCTTTTGGTTGTTTTGGCTCTTTTGGTTCCTTTGATTCTTGTGATGGGGTTGGTGGGGCTGACTTACCTTCTCTTGAATCAAAAATTAAAGTAACTGGACCATCATTTACAATAGAAACATCCATCATAGCACCAAATTGACCATCATGAATTTTTTCTGGTTTATATGCTTTTTTAGCCATTTCTAAAAATTGATTATAAAAGACCTTTGCCTCTTCTGGGGTTTTTGCTATATGGAAATCTGGTTTGGTTCCTTTATAAGTTGCATAGAGTGTAAACTGTGATACTAATAACACATCATAATTCATTTCAACAACTGATTTAGCCCATCCCTTACCCTCTTGATTTTGGAAAACTCTGATATTTAATAGTTTTCTTAAACACCATTCAGCATCTGCAAATATTTGAATTGAAATAATTTTATATAAGTAAAAATTTGAATATGTTAAAAATAAAAAAGCAAACTAAAAATTTTTACCTTTTACAGTATCATCTCTGCTAATACCAACTAAACAAACAATACCATGATTAATTGATGATATTACTTGACCTGCAACGGTTACACTTCCACTTTTTGCTCTTTGTAATACAACTCTCATTTATTAAATATTTACAATTTATATTTGCATTAATATTGATACTTTTAAAAATGAGAAATGAAAAAATAAAAATAATAAAAAATGAAAAAAAATAAAAAAAAAAATTTATTTTAAAAAAATTAATTAAAAAAATGAAAAAAAATAAAGATATTTAATACAGATAATTTTTATTTTTATTTTAGTTTTAATTTTAATTTTTTAATTCGCAATACAATTTATTTGAATAAAGACAAGCTATTTAAAGAATTTTTTTTTTTTTTGAAATGTGTGGTGGTTTATAAATTATTTTTTTAATAAATTTGGGGTTTAATGTATTTAATCAGATAAGAACAATCCATTTTAATTTATTGTTTTTTGTTATAAAAATAAGAAAAGGTAAAATATATATAAATAGATATTAAAAATGTGATAAAAAAAAAAGAAAAAAAAAAAATTAAATTTTAAAAAAAAAATTTTATTTTCCAATTTTTTTTTTTTTTTTTTTTTAAATTTTTTTCGTTTATTATTACTTTTTTATTATTATTTTATTTTGATTTCTTTAAAAAGAAATAATTTAAAAATCTAAATAAATAAATAGTTTAATTATTTTTAAGTGGATCAATTAAATAGAATAATCGAATAGTAAATATTATAATAATTTATAATCAAATCAACAAAATATGGAAAGACAATTAGAAACATTCATATTACATTTAAAAAGAAAAAATGTTGTTGGATCATATCAGGTATCAAGAGCTACAGCAGAGTTATTAAGACATTGGGTATCAAAAGAGAAATGGTCAAATGCCAAAACATTAATTGAAGCAATTAGAGCCATTGGTAAAAGATTAATTGATGCACAACCTTTAGAGTTTTGTATTGGTAATATAGTTAGAAGAGTATTATTTATTATTAGAGAAGAGTATTTAGCAATTAAGAAAAATACAGAACTTGAAAGTGCAACATCCAGCACCACTAGCAAATCACCATCATCATCAGCATCATCATCCACCACAACCTCACCAACCCCAGCATCACCACAAACTACAGCAGTCCACAATTTATCATCATCAACATCAGCAACTTCACAATTAAGATCCGAAACATCATCAAAACATTTATTAAGTTATGAAGATAACGAAGATATTGATTTTACTGAAAATTTCCCAAGATTAAAAGCAGCCATTATTGATAGCGTTAATGAACTCATTGATGAATTGGAAGGTCTTCATAGAAATGTTGCCGATCAAGCAATTGAGCACATTCACTCTAACGAAACCATTATGACTTTAGGTTGTTCAAAAACTGTTGAAGAATTTTTAAAAGAAGCCGCAAGAAAAAGATCATTCAAAGTTATTGTTGTTGAAACTTCACCATCGTAAGTTTTTCAATAAATATAAAAATAATAATAAATTAATAAATAACATGTAATTAATTAACATATTTATTTTATTTTAGACTTGAAGGTCAAAAAACAGCATTAACATTATCAAAAGCATCAATCGATACAACACTTATTACAGACTCTGCAGTATTTGCAATGATGTCACGTGTTAATAAAGTTATTATAGGTACACACGCTGTTATGGCAAATGGTGGTTTAATCGCTACATCAGGTACTCATTTATTAGCAGTCGCTGCTAAATATCATTCAGTTCCAATTGTAGTTTGTACAGGTCTTTATAAACTTTGCCCATTATATGCTTATGATCAAGATACTTTCAATAATTTTGGTTCACCAGGCGAATACTTAAAATTTGAAGAAGCAGAATATTTAGAGCATGTACACAGTTACAATCCAACCTTTGACTATATCACACCTGATTTAATCAGCTTATTTATAACCAATATTGGTGGTCACAACCCCGATTATCTTTACAGATTAATTCAAGAGTATTACGATCCAAGAGATTCTTTAGAAGATGATCAATAATAAATAAAACATATAAATAAATAAATTTTAAAAAAAAAAAAAGAAAAAGGTAAACAAAAAGAGTTTCTAGATAAAAAAAAATATATATATATTTTTTAATGGTTTTTATTTGTATTAAAAAAAAAAGTTATTACTATGTATATATATATTTTTTTTATTTTTTTTTTATTTAATATGAGAGCAATTAATATTCTAAAAGTGGTTCACCAACATTAACAACTTTGGGTATGGTACAATTTAAATCAAAAGCCTTGCTAATAACAATCTTGAAAATCTTTTGTACATTGATAGAGTGAGAAGTTGAGCAAAAGATTAATGGTGATTTCATAGCTGAAGCAAATTTACGAGCTTGTTTGGTGATTTCTTCTTGTTCTTCAATTGGTTTAGTTGCGAAAACGTCAAACTTGGTACCAATTAAAAATGGAATAGCAGTCTTATTGAAACCTCTGGCTTGTCTATACCATTCTTTAACAGAGTTTAATGTTGATTTTCTGGAGAGATCAAACATGAAAAGAATTGCGACGGCATCATTACATACTAATGGTAACATATTTACAAATTCTCTTTGACCACCTAAATCCCAAATTGAAAAAGTAATTTCGGTACCTCTAATTGAAATTGTTTTCTCCATGAAATTGACACCCAATGTTTGAATGTAATCTTCATCGAAAGTACCTTCAACGTATTTAACCATTAATGAAGTTTTACCAATTTGTGAGTCTCCAACCATTCCAACTTTAACTACAACATTGTTCTTTTTGGCATCTGCTGATCCTGTAAATTGTTCTTCTGACATTTTATAATAAATATAATAATAATAATAATACAATTAAAAAATAAAGAGTGATTTATATGTGTGTATATGAGTAAGTATTTATGAAATATATGTATATATATTTAGTATGTGAAAAAAAAAATATTATAGATATTATATCCCTTTTAAAGATTTATTTCTATACTATTTATTTATTGTATGTGTTTATGATTTTATTAATTAGTGTAACAAGAATGTAGTGTTTATAAATATATAACTATTATTTTAAAAATATATATATATTTAATTTTATTATTATTATTATATAATGTACAAAATAAAAAAATAATTATTATTAAACAAAGTAATGGTGTGATTGAATAAAATAAAAAAATAAAAAAAATAAAATCAATTGAATATTATAAAAATTTTGTTTAATTTATTGGAACAGTGGATAAAATTATCTCTCTTTGTGTGAGTGTTGTGGTATTTAACTATAAATATTTATGATATGATAATATAAATAATATGGTGCACTTATCATAAAAATTTTTTTTCAAAATTTTTAAAAAAAATTTAAAAAAAAATTTAAATTTTTTTTTTTTAAAAAAAAAAAAAAAAAAAAAAAAGGAAAAAAAAGGTTGAATTATTTGAATTATTTTTTTTGCTTTTTGTTTTTCTATGTTTTTTTTTTATTTTTTTTTTGACTATTATTATTTAATAAATCAAAAATGTTATTCCAATAAATTGGCAATGATCATACTATAGTAGTATAATAGATAACTCATTCATTCAATTTATTTATTTATTTGTTCCAATTATTTTAGTAGGTATTATTACATTAAAAGTCATATCAGAAATTTTTTTAAAAAAAAAAAAGTAAGATATTTATTTTTTTTTATTTTTTTTTGAAATTTTTTTATTTTTTTTTTTATTTTTTATTTTTTTTTATTTTTTTTTTAGAAAAAAGCATTACTGTTGGTTGTGTTGTTTATACATTATAGAACGTGCATTAATATTCATACAAATAATAAAACTAAAACTATACTGTTCAGTAAAAAAGGTCATCACTCAGACACACATAATATTCTTGTACAATAACATAATATAATAATAAAAAATAAAAAAATAAAGAATTAATTTTTGTATAAAAAAATCAAATAATAAAATTTCTGTTTTTTTTTTTTTTATAAAATAATATTTGAAAATCTATATAATTATTAATAATAATATCAAAATAATAGTTTGAAATAATCAATCAAAATAATAATAATAATAATCATTTAAAATAATAGAAAAAAACCATTCAATCACACTCCCACACATTTTTACCCCTACACACACAACATTTTTTATTTATTTTTTTATTTATTTTTTGGGGTTATTTAGATCCATATAACAAATCTAGAACAAAACAAATATTATATAATTGAAATATTTTGTTATAAAATACATTTATATATATATAACAATATCTTTTTTTTTTTTGTAATTTTATAAATTTATAAATTTGTTTTGTTTTGTTTTTTTTAAATATATAATCTTTTTATTTAAAAAAATAAATATTTTTATTGTATTTTTTTTTTTTTAACAAAGAAAATAATTCCAATTAAATAGTTTATTAATAAAAAAAATTAAATAGTAATTGTAATAATAGTAAAATAATAAATAAATCACAATTTTAATAAATAATAAAATGAGTTCAGATTCAGTCGAAATTCTTTTTAATGATAGAATTTCAAAAGATGATCCAGAAGCAATTTTTCAAATCGTCGAAATCGTTGGATCAGGTTCATTTGGTACAGTTTGTGCATGCAGATGGATGAAAAAAAAAGATAGAGAAGCAAATGATAATAAATTAATAGCATGTAAATTTGTCGAAGTTAATCCAGAAGATACAGAAACCAATATCAATTTAGTTAGAGAAATCGATATCTTAAAGGAATCAATGGATTGCCCATATATTGTAGAATATAAAGGTTGCTATTTAAAGAGTAATATGTTACTTATAGTTATGGAATACTGCAAAGGTGGTTCATTACTCGATATTATAGAATTATGTGAAAAGCGTCTCGTCGAAGAAGAAATTGCCGCTGTTTGCGCAGGTGTTGTAAAAGGTTTAGTTTATTTACATTCAAAAAAAACTTCACATAGAGATATTAAAGCAGGTAATATTTTATTAGATGAAGAAGGTTTACCAAAATTAGGTAAGTACAATACAAAAACTCCGATACTATAATAAATATGAATATTAATTTTTTTATTTTATTTTTATTTAATTTTTAGCTGATTTTGGTGTTTCAACAATTGCAGAACAAGGACAAAAGATGAAAACAGTAATTGGTTCACCATATTGGATGGCACCAGAAATTATTATGGGTCAAGGTTATGATCAAAAAGCAGATATTTGGTCATTAGGTATTACAGCTATTGAAATCGCAGAATTAGTTCCACCAAGATTTGATGTACCACCATCCAGAGTTATCTTTACTATTCCACATCAACCACCACCAACTCTTAAAATTCCATCCGATTGGTCACCAGAGTTTAATGATTTTGTAAAACAATGTTTATCTATGAATCCAGCAAATAGACCATCAGCCCAACAATTACTCAGCCACCCATTCATTCTCAAGGGTTCAAGTCAACAAATTCTTCAAAAATTAGTTAACGAATGTATTCCAATTCTCAAAGAGAAAAGACAAGAGAAAATTAGACAACTCGAAGAACAAGAAGCTAAAAATAGTGCAAGCAAAATGGTATCAAGTGTTGGTACTAGAGCTTCTCAAGCTTTAGCCACTGCAAGAAAAGCCGAGTCACTCAGAGGCTCTGTTGTCATTTTGAACTCTAAGGATAAAACTGCTTCCATTATGCGTAATAAAAATCCACCAACCAGCTCTGCTGCAGCAGGCGGTGCCGGTTCAACAAGAAGAGTACCAGGTAATAAAAGTGTACTCAATAGATATCCTCCTGCCAATGCAGTTAATCAAAATACCAATGTACCATCACCAGCTGGCGGCACAAGTAGACCTGGTAAAATAAACTCACCATTTTTACAACAACAAAACCAACCACCACCTCCAAAACCAGTCTCAAAACCAGTTTCAAAACCAACAACAACTAAACCAACTGCAGCCGCCTCAGCATCTTCTACAAATTCAACTACTCCAACTAAAAGTGGTGGTTCAAGTTTAAATATTAAACCAACTAGTAGCGTAAATAGAAGTTCAATAAGTATTGGTCAACAAAAACAACAACAACAACAACAACAAGACCACGATGATGAAGATAGCCACAGTGTTATCTATCATCCATCATGTAGCGAAGACGAATCTGATATTGAATTTAATAAAGAGGATTATGAAATCATAGATATTTAATAATATTTTAAATCTATCAAAATAATCATAATAATCACAATAATAATAATTTGCTAAAATAATAATGGTTTTTTTTTTTTTATATATAAATTAATAATAATAATCTACAAGAATTTAAAAAAAAACTTTATTGTTTTGTATAATAGTAAAAATAAAATAAAATTTAAAGTATATATAAAAAAAATATAAAAATTATCTTTTTTAATTTATTTGTTTATTTCTTTTAATTTTTTTTTAGTGGCTGTTGAAAATGGTCTTTTTTTGGGTTGACAGGGGTTGATTGAGGGTGATTTTAAAAATGTTTAAAAAATCCAATTGATAATGATGCTTATACTTAAAAATATATTGTTTTTTTATATTTTATTGATTTACAAATAAAAATAAAAATAAAATTAAATCAATTTATCACTATAACACTAATAATAGAATTTGAAATTTAGTTTTGGTTTCTATTGTTTTAAAAATACTTAATGGTTGTGTATTCAATTTGAATTATTTTCTAGAAAATAATTGATAATTCATTTCTTAATTCCTATTTGATGATTTGAAATAAAAAAAGTTAGTATTCTATTTTTAATTAAAAATTAATATTTATTTTTTTTGTATAAAATATTAAAAATAATATAAAGTAATATATTTTAAAAATATGATTATTTTATTGCATTATAAATTTGATTAATTTAAGAAATCATTATAATAAAAATTATGGGTTTTAAAAAACTTTTAGCAGTTAATTTTAAAAAATTTTTAAATTTAAAAATTAACCCATTTTTTATTTGAATTAAAAAATTTAAAAAAAATTTTTTGAAAAAAAAATAAAAAAAAAAAATGAAATTTTTATTTTAATTTTTTACATTTCTATTATTTTTTTCTTTATTACCTTATATTTTTAGATCACCTTTTTTATTTAAATTTAGTAAGTGGAATTGAAGATTTAATTTTTGGGAAAATAAGAGTTTTAGAAAATAACTTTAAATTCTCAATTTTTTAAAAAAAATTTATAAAAATTTAATGATTTTAAACTATATATCTTATAAATACCAAATAGTTACCACAATCAATCATCATATAAACAAATAAACATAATTATAAACATAATTATAAATAATAATAATAATAATAATAATTAATCAATAATTGTTTTATTTTCAGTCTCTAATACACTACACTTACAAATATATCCATCACACGCACAGACACACAAAATTCTCCAAACATCAACACTTAATTCACCCAAATCACTTTAACACCACTTTAAACACATAATATTATTATTATTTTTTTCAATTTTAAAAAAAAATTTTAATTTATTTTTTAATTGTTTTTTTTTTTAAATTTTTTTTTTTCTTTTAAAAATTATCTTTCAATACTAATATAATTCTTTTTTTTATTATTTTTAGCTAGTATCATTTTTATATATTAGTAGTAGTAGTATTTGTAGAGGTTTATTTATTTCATATTTATTATAGAACACAAAAAGAAAAAAAAAATAAAAAGAATAGTGTTTTAATATTAAAAAACTTTTGAAAATTTCATCATCAAAATTTTTTTTATTTTGTCAAATCTTTTAAATTTCAAATTTAATTTATCGAAAATATGTCAGATGTAGCTGCCCCACCACCACCACCACCACCAGCTCCAGCTCCACCACCACCACCACCATCAATGGGCGGAGCTCCACCTTCATCTGAAAGATCTGCATTATTAGGTTCAATTCAAGGTTTTAATTCAAATAAATTAAAAAAAGTCAGCACTAATGAAAAAAAACCAGGAGGTAAGTAGATTTTTTTTTGATATTTTTGCAATAACAGGAGTGTTTTTTTGAAAGTCTGAAAATCTTTGAAACACTTCAATGTTAAGTGTTTTTTTGATTTTTTTGACTTTTTTGACTTTTTTAACTTTTTTTTTTTTTTATGTTATTCTTATAATATATATTAATATATTTCAATTTTAAATTGTTTTAATATAGATAAACCAGTCGCTCCATCAGGTGGATCATCAAATGCATCAATAGGGGTATCATCAAAACCAGCACCAGGAGGCGGTCCATCAGGTTTTGGTGATATTTTTGCAGGAGGTATGCCAAAATTAAGAAGCACAGGTGCAAAGGTAATTATCAAATATTCAATTAAATTTCAAATCAATTTTATATTTTTATTTGTGAATTAGGAACTGTCAATATTTGAAAAAAAAAATTTAAAGAAAAAATGAAGATTATATTATTTCAATTATTGTTTTTTTTTATTTTTCTTTTTTTTTCCCAAATAGTTTATAAGGAAATATATTAATATAATCAATTATTTTACATTCTAGACCACAGAGTCAAGCTCTTCAGCCACAACACCAGCTCCAGTTTCAAAACCAGCTCCAGTATCAAAACCAGCTCCAGTTTCAAAACCAGCTGCACCTGTTAATAATGCTCCAGCTAAACCAGCCCCATCAAATGTAGCCAAGCCATTGGTAACATCAATCTCCAAGCCAGTTATTAAACAATCTACAGGTGTATTAAGACCAGCACCTGTTATTTCAAAAGCACCTGTTGTTAGCAAGGTTGCTGCCAAACCAGCTCCAACACAAAATAAACCAGCTGCTCCAGTAGCACCAGTAGCACCAGTTGCTCCAGTAGCACCAGTAGTACCAGCTGCCCCAGTTTCAGAAGCACCAAAACCAACACCACCAGTAGTTGATCCAGCTTCCATTAAAACAAATACATCATCACCACCAACATCATCACCAAAACCAACAATGGACCTTCCACCACCAATTCCAAAACCAAGCCATGACTCAATATCAAATACTGCCAATGAACAAACAAAACCAGTTGATAATAGTGGTGTAGTTTCAGAGCACACAATTTTACCAGGAGATGGTAGCAGATCAGTTAAAACTAACCCAACCCATACAGTTACATCCAAACCAGCTGCCCCTGTTAATAAACCAGCTGCAGCTGGTGGTACACCAGCAAACTGGGTCAAACCAGGATCAGGCCCAATATCACCAATCGGTAAAGTTGTACAAAGTGCTTCAGTTCAAGTTGCTCCACCAAGAAAAGTTACAAGTTCAGCAACCCCATTAAAGCCAGCTCCAGTTATTACTTCAAAATCTGTTGCAAAACCAGCTCCTGTAAATACAAATACTACATCATCAAACTCTACATCAAACCCAACTACCCCAACATCAGTATCATCACCTAAATCACCAGCTGTATTTAATATCCCACCACCAATTGCTAAACCATCAGCACCAAAAGACGAAGCTGCTAAACCAACACCAGCACCAGCACAAACACCAGCACCAGCTTCTGTTCCAACACCTAAACCACAACCAGTTGCAGAGCCACCAGCTCCAACACCACAACCACCAAAAGAACCAGAAACCAAACCACATCAACATCAACAACAACCACCAGCTACTCTTCAACACCAACACTCATCAAGCAGCATTAAGAATATATCTCCAAGAAAGAATGACAGCGATGAATTGGTTTGTGCTAGATGCGGCGGAGGTATTGAAGGAAACCACTTTAAAGCATTAGACCAAGCATGGCACATTGAACATTTCACCTGTGTTGAATGTAATACAGGTATTCAAAACTTTGTTCAACATGATGGCCAACCATATTGTGAAGTTTGTTATGATAGAAAATTCGTTGTACACAAAATTTGTAATATATGTGACAAACCAATTTTTGGCACTGTAGTTTCAGCAATGAACTCAACCTACCATTCAGAATGTTTCAAATGTTCATCATGTAATTCAAATTTCCCAGATAGTAAGTATAATATATTATTTATCATGATACGTTTAAAAAATTTTAAATATTAATTTTTTTTTTTCTTAGATGAATTTTATCAATATGAAGGTAAACCATGGTGTGGCCCATGCATCCAAAAGATGACAAAATCAAAATATGAAAAATGCGACTTTTGTAAAGAAGAAATTGATTCAAAATCAGATGGTGTTATCAAAGTTTTAGGATGTAAATATCATAATAATAATAAATGCTTTGTTTGTTACGATTGTAAAACACCATTCCCAAATTTAAATTACTATGAAATAGATACCCATCCAATGTGTTATGATTGTGCCGTTAAACATTAAAAAATAAAATAAAATTACCTAAAACAAAAACAAAAATAAAAATAAATAAAAAAAAAAATAAAAAAAAAATAAAAAAAAAAAAGAACATACAAATATTTTTTTAAATAAAATTATGTATTTTTATATTTATTATTAATTATTTATTAAATGTTTATTTTTTATTTTTAAATTTTTACTATTTACAAAAGATTTTTTTTTTTGGGGGAATTTTACACTTGGTGATGTAAATTATAAAAAAATATCAAATGTAAAGGTGACAAAAAAGATAATAATTTTTGAAGAGGAAATTTGGTACAGTTCATCCAAAAAAAGAAAAGATTTTTAATTTTATTATTTTTATTTTTATTTTAAAGTATTTTTATAATATTTTTGTGTAAAAACCAGGATAGAATCCGGAGTGATTGATATTATTTTATTACAATAAAAAATTTTATTTTATAAAATAATTTACAAAAATGATAAAGACCATTGGGAATAGCAGGTGCCCCTTATGCCTGGGTGCTTAGATTTTTTTGGGTGGGCTTACCCATTACTAAAATCCAATTTTTTATTTTTTTTATTTTTTTTTTTTATTTTTTTATTTTTTTTTTAAAATTTTTTAAAAAACTAACTGATTCAGCGTCCCTATAAATTTCATTTTATTTTTGCATGTAACATTATTATTATCTTATCTTTTTTTTTATATTTATATCTTGTAATATTATTATTATTTTCAAATTTTAACAAAATGAGAATCTTCATCACTTTATTATTAATCTTTGGTTTATTCTCCTCATCATTTGCTGTTCAACCACAACAAGTTGAATTAGAAAACTTACAATCTACTAAAGATTTTGGTAAATTTTTAGTTGGTTTTGCTGAAGGTCTTGAAGTAAGTATTTTTAGAAAAACCACAAAAAAAAAAAAAAAAAAAAAACAATTTTCTAATTTAATTGTTATTTACTTTATCATTAGATCTCACTCAGTGGTCACTTAAAATCATGTATTGCTTCAATCGATTCATCATTCGCTGATCTTTCAGCTGCTTATCACAACATCGATAGTGGTTTCTCACACAAATCAAGCTCAACAATGAGAGCTGGTCTTCGTGATTTCGGTCATGGTATCCTCGATGTTTATAACGCTTATAACCGTTGTGGTGTCAAATCCTTAATCTCTGATATCAGAACCATCGCTGCTGAAGTTAGCTCTGAAACTGGTATCCTCAAATTAGTTATCCACGAAGGTATTGATATCATCCACAATGCCCACACTCTTACCACTTCTTTCAAAAATATGATCTCTGATTGCAAGAGAGGTGACTTCACTGGTTGTGGTGTTAACTCTGGTAGAATCGTTGGTATTTTAATCCACCAATAAACATATAGTTTTATTTAAACTAAACAAACAACAATAATAAAATAAAATTATATCAACTCGAATTGAACTTGTATATTATTTTTTTATAAATAAAAATTTAAATAAATTTTATTATATTGGTTTTAATTAATTATTTTTTAATTTCTTTTTTTTTCATTTTGTTGGTATATCAGTGTGATTTCTAATTTTTTTTGTTATTTTATAAATTTTTATAAATATTTTATTATCACTTTTTCAATTTCACTTTTTTTAATTTTTTTTTTTTTTTTTTAATTTTTTTTATATTTTTTGAAATTAATACTCTTTTGATGCAAATACTTATATAATTTTTTTCGATTATTGTATTAATAGTTTTTTAATTATATTTATTTATTTTATTTTTTTATTTGTTTTTAATTTTTTTATTTAATTTTTTTTTTTTTTTAATTTTTTTCATTTTTTAAAAAATTTTTTTTTTATTAAAAATTTAATTTATTTTTATTTATATCATTCAAAAAGATGAGCGATGAAATTTCAAATGTTTTATTAAAAAGAAAGAGAAATGATGAAGAGGTTATTTCAATTCAAGATGCCTTAAATGATCAGCTAGAGGAAGAAAAAAATTTAATAGAAGAAGCAAAGAGACAAGAGGAAGAAGATTGGGGTGACGAGAATTGTTGTTCTTTTGAAAAAGGTTATATAAATCAATCTGTTTTTGCATGTAGAACATGTTCAACCGATGATAGATTAGTAAGTTTTTATGTAAATTACTACTAAAAAGAAAAAAAAAAAAAGATTCACTAATTTATTAATTTAATAAAGTTTGGATTCTGTTATGGTTGCAGTATGCACTGTCATTTATATCATGATATTTATGAATTGTTTCATAAAAAAGATTTTAGATGTGATTGCGGTACATTGGTTCAGCAACCAAAAGAGGGTGATCAAAAAAAAGAATTCTTATGTCAATTAGCACCAATTTCAAAAGATGAAAATGGGGAACAAATTGTCAAAAAAGAAATATTAAATTCAAAAAATCAATACAACCATAATTTTAAAGGAAAATATTGTTATTGTGATAGTGTTTATGATTATAAGGAGGATATGATTCAATGTATTCTATGCATGGATTGGTTCCACGAACAATGTTTAAAATTGAATTCAAAAGTTTCAGATATTCCAAGTGTCGATGAATTTTCAGATTTAATTTGCTCGGATTGTGTTAAGAAATTCAATTTTTTACAATATTATCCATACATTAGAGTTTATATAGTAAATGACCATATAGTTATTGATGATCCACCAAAAGCAGATATTGAAAATAAAACAACAGTAACAACAACAACAACAACAACAACAAAAACAACAACAACAACAACAACCACAGCAACAGAAGCAACGACAACATCATCAGAAAATATTACAGGATCAGGTTTGGATTTAGTAACACCTCCACTCAATATAACTTCAGCCAATACAACATCAGAATCAACTATAAATAAATTATCAGTAAATTCAAATAGGTGCAAGAAATCATTAATTGGTCCAAATAGTTTATTTTCAGGTGATTTGTTTTGTAAAGAAAATTGGACAAGTGATTTGTGTCAATGTGGCGATTGTAAAATATATTATAAAGAAAATAAATTAGAATTTTTATTTGAAGGTGATTCAAATACTATATCTCATAGGGAGAGTTTAGAATCTTCAGTTGAGGGTGATAAGGATATTTTTAATAAAACTCAAGATACTTTCGAAAAAATTGTTCCATTGCAACAACAAAGAGCGTTATTGGAGGGTTATAGCAACATGAAAGAAAAATTAAAAGATTTCTTTTCAAAAAAAGCAGATACAAATCAAGTTATTACGAAACAAGTATGTATATTAAATAATTATAAATAATAATAATAACAATAAAAAATAATAATAAAATAATCAAACACCAAAACTAATTCTTTTTTTTTTTATTATTAAATATAGGATATCCAATCATTTTTTAGAGATTTGAATGTAAATAAAAAATTTAAAAATAATTAAGGGTGATCATTTATTTTGACTAAAATTTAAGTAAATAAAGAAAAATAATTAAATATTTTAAAAAAAGGAATTTATAATTTATAATTTATTTTTTATTTTAGTTTAATTTTTTTTTAAAAACATATTCGAATTGAGTTAAAATCATTTCTTTTGTAACTTCCCAACCTTCAAAGCTATTATTTGAAACTAATAATGGTTTTAATCGTTCACTTATAGAACATTTGCTTTGGAAAATAATATTCTTAAGGAAATCTTGATTTTGGATAAAGGATAGAAGTGCTTTGCATTGAAAATTATCGAAAATTATTAATTTTTTGATAAATTGAACAAATGTTAATGTTCTCCAGGTAAAATCGTTTGATAATGATTGAACAATCTTTCCAAAATCAATTGGTCCCCCAAATAGATTGAAACAGATTAAATTTTCTACTGGTGATGGTTGATTCCAACAATTTGAAAGGAATAGGAGATTATTTGCAGCCCATGTTACTGGTACTGTATAGACTGATTGGAATTGAATCTCTAATGGGTAGCAATCCATAATATAAAATGTTTGAAGAAGAATTTGGAATATATCGAGTTCTTTATTAATACCTGTATTTGGATTTGAAAATAAAAATGGTAATCTTATTATCATTGTTGGGATACCTTTGGCTGTTGCTTCCTTTATACGATATTCACAAACTACTTTGGATTGGAAATATCCATTCATAATTATATTGTCCATCGATTCACTGACGAGGAGTGGTGATTGATAATCATCTAAAACACTGAGAGTTGAACCCCAATATACACCAAAAGTTGATATTTCAACAAATCTTTTTAGTTTAATACTTGATGCGAATCTAATACATTGGTTAACTCCTTCTAAATGTGGATATAAATCTGAATATTTGCTTTTGAAACTTGTGTTATAAGCTAAATTGAAAATTACACCGACTTCTTTTGATAAAAGAGTATAAGTTTCTTTTGATAACCCAAAGAGCTCTTTAGAATAGTCACCACCAATAACTACAATTTTATCGATTTGTTCTTTTGTTAATTGTTTATAGAGTTGATGATCTTTAAATAATTGGATAATGGATTCTTTTGTTTTATCACGAGTAAGGCAATAAATTTTTTTATAGGTATCGGATTTTATTAAATTTGATAAAAAGTAAATACCCAAAAAACCTGTTGAGCCAGTAAGAAGAATAGTACTGCTATCAAAGGTACCATTTGCTACAGAGTCCTTGTAAACCTTAATTTGCTCTTGATTTGGTAAAATAATTGATGGATCAAGCGTAGCTTCTTTTATCCAATCGATTGGTTTAGGTTCTTCAACTGGTTGGGGTTGATCTCTCTTTTTAGTGGAGTAATTTGGCATTTCAACAGCATTTTTAATTGTAGAAATTAATTGTGAAATTGTTATTTGTTGTAGTTGAGAAATTGTTACAATATTTGGCTTAAATGTTTTGTCAATAAAGGATTTTAATTCGATTGCCAATATAGATGTGAAGCCATATTGATTCATTTGAATATCTAAGTTAATTTTTGATTGATCAATTGATAAATACTCGCTGAATTTTGAAAGAATTATTTCTCTAACTGATAAATCTTCATTATCATTTGAATTATTTGATTGGATGGAATTTAAATAGAAATCTAATTTATATGAAAGGAGGTGTTTCTTGAAAGATCTACTAATATTTGAATGGTCAAATTTCGCGACAATTTTATTATTTAGTTGATCATGATTTTGTAAAATTAAATCCAAAGAACCTAAAACAATATTTGTTGAAATTAAATCTAAACCTTGTGATGTAAAGAGGGCTTGGACAGAGTCGGATCTAGATACAAAACCAGATTGGTCAATGGCAGAGAAATTAATTGAAACAATAGGGTAGCCAAACTGTCTTAATGCTTTTGAATATGAATCAATTAAAGTATTTGCACAAACATAGCCACATTGTCTATGAGCACCTAAAACACTGGCAATTGATGATGCTAAAACAAATTTCTTTAGTAGCCACCCTTTTAAGCCCATTGCTGTTTGTATATTATATGCTCCAATAATTTTAGCACTATTGGATTGGATGAGTTGGTTTAAATCAATTTCCTCTGGTTCACTTTGGACAGGAGCAAAGGCATTATGGAATACAGTTTCTATTGGATCTAGTGTTGGATTCTCATTGTAAAGTTGGTCAATTGCATTTGATAGTTCTTGGCCATTTGAGATATCAACTTGTTTATAAAAGATGCGAATTGTTGGATTATTGATTTTTGAATTTGCTTCTGCAAATTTAAATTCATACCTAACTGGTGATTTTGAAAAGACGATAATATTTTTAACACCTTGATCGTTTTGTTTGGAACTATTATTCACTATCCATTTAAGAATTGTTAATGATAAACCTCTTTGACCTGTAATTAAAACTGTTTTTCCAAATAAATCATTATCAATTTGGAATGATGGTGATAATAATAAATAGTTTTTATCAAATTGATAGTTTGATTTTTCAATAATAAATTGAACCAAGTCCGGAATGGTTTGATAGTTAATTACGACCTTTCCAATGTGCTCTCGTTTACCCAAATATTCAATTGCATCTTTAATTTCCGAAACTGGGAACTCGGTAATTGGAATTAAATTTAGTTTCTCTTCCTTGATCATATCTGTTATTGTTTGTAAAATTGGTTTGGCTTTTTTGAAACTAGCTGGTGTCATAACTTCAACAGTTGAATATGAAATATTGTATTTAAATTTATTAAAATCTGTTGTATCATTTGAATTTAAATGATTAATGCTAAGATCCACAATACGACCACCTTGAGCTAATGTATTGAAGTTTGCTTCGAGGAATTCAAATGGTAAAGTATTAATAATTAAATCCACACCATTTCCAGATAATATTGAAGGGGTTTTGTTTATTTCCGATATTTTCTTTTTAATTTCAAAAGAGAAGTTGGTATCTCTTGATGAATAAATTCCAGTAATAAAGTTTCCATATGTGTTACGAAGATATTGTTCTTTTTCCTTTGATCCAACAGTTACGAATAGTGATGATTTGAATCCACTTGCTTTTAATATTTCAATTAATGACAAACCAATCCCACCAGTTCCTGAATGAATTAAAACACTTTCACCTGATTCAATATCTAAATTGCCTTTATAAAACAAAGAGTAGTATGATGTAATATACACAAGTGGGATTGATGCTGCGTCGGTAAATGAAATATTGCTTGGTTTTATTACAAATCTATCTTGGTCAGCAATAACAGTTGATGAGGTAGAACAGAAACATGCACCTAATACTTGGTCACCAACTTTAAATTTACTAACTTTATTACCAACTTTGGTTACAATACCACTTAATTCATAACCTATTTCTGGGTTATTATAATCTCCTTTTTGGTTAGTTACTTCTCTCTGTACCAAGCCACGGTAAACCAAATTGTCTTTAAAGTTGATACCTGCTGCCATTACTTTAACTTGGATTTCATTATCTAACAATGATTTTTTTGCCTCAAGTTTAAATTCTAATGTCTGAGCATCTAATCTTGCTACCAAATCTTCCTTGTTGCTAACATATGAATTTGACTTGTATTTTAATTTTAAATTGGTCTCTTGTTTAACCCTTTCATAATATACTTGATTATCTCTGACGATAAATTCCCTTTGAATGTGTTTACTAGAATTTGTTAAATTATAGGAGATTCTAAAATCAGCTAAAGTTTTTTCATAAAAATCTGCTCCGAAATCTATTGAATAAATATTTAAACCTGGGAATTCACAGAAATATCTGAAGGCACCGATTAATGATGATGCAAATGCATTTATAGATTCTAATTGAGCATATCTTGATAGTAATACATGTTTACAACCACTATTAGTCTTTAATAAATGTTGATTAATTTTAATATAATCAAATGTAGTCTCTTGGAAATTACCTTCATTTAAATCATTAAGAGCTCCACAAGATAAAATAACTGATTTTTCTGTTAATGGAGTTTGGGCAATTTGTTTTTCAAAATCTTCGTATGTAAAAGATCTATAAATATCGGTTCCTTCTTCGTTAATATCCATGGCACTTTTAAATTCTTGTGATTCGTCAATGTTATCTAGTTTTGGGCCAAAAATAAATATTTGATCAAAGGAAGCAATAAGACCAGTTAAAGATATAGTTTTTTCTGCTGATTCTATATAGTTTGGTTTTTGGGTGGTTATTACATATGGTTGAGATTGAGTTGCAATGAAACCTTTAAAGTTTAAATCTGTTACCAATAGTTTTTGCCATTCATCCAAAGTTGTAACTGAGCCATAGCAATTATATGATATCCATTGTTCAAGCATTTCAATTTGTTTATTTGTAGTTTTTGGTTTAAATAATGTATCAACTATTACCAAATAACCGTTTCCAGATAAAATTTTATTAATGTTATCAATTGATGATTTCCTATCCTGTTGAATTTCCGATACACCATTTAAAATAATGATATCATAATAAGATGGATTGAAATTTTGTTCTAATAGATCTTGTTGTAAGTTGATTGGCTTAAATAAACATTTGATCAATGGACTATCATCGATTATTATATGTAAATTCTCTTTGATTTGTTGTACAAAATTTATTTCTTTATCAGAGAATGTGAATTCAATGTTAATTTCTGATGATGAATTTCCTTTAATTAGTGCACATATTTGGTTTATTATAATTTCTGATAATAGACCAATACCACATCCAATTTCTAAAATTCTGAAAACGATACTTTGATTTAATATTGGTTTAATTGAATTTGAAATGATTTCTTTAATAATTTGATTTTGCTTGATTATGGGTTCAGGAGAGGAGTCTATTAAATTTGAAGATGCTTGGTCAACAGAACCTGGATTTTTGATCAAATATTTTGCTAGTGTATTTAAAGTTTTTTGGTCTTGAGCATTTAAAACTGCAAGTAAAGGAGAGGCTTGTCCATATTCAATTAATGATACATTTGATTTTAACATTTCAAAGTAAGATTTTGCAATATTATGCTTTGCTATACCATCAATTTCTGATATATTAAAATAATTTGAGATTAAAAGTTCAGTAGCTTCACTTGTGACTTTGGCGGGTGTAATATCTTGATATTTCTTTTTAATTGGAGAATATAAACTTGTTGTAAATGCTTTTTTAATATTATTTGCTGGTTTTGAAATGATTTCATTAAATTTATTTAATAAATTAATTGAAGGTAATTCCAATGGTGAATCTATTGATTGTTTAACGATTGAGTAAATAGAGTTGGTTGGGCTTGCTAATGTTAAACCATCTGAGACTGGGTTGGTTGAAGTGAAAACTATGAAAGGAATATTAATTAAAACAGAACCATCCTGATCAAAGCAAATGGCTTTGGCAATATGTGAGTTTCCAATAGCTTCTACAAATTCTGAATAGCAATAAAGGTATTTATATTTCTCTCTTTCATTTACAGATTTTGGTATATTCTCTGAAAAAAATTGAACACCTTGAAGTTTTTCAAAGAGCACAATACCTTTGTTTTCTCTTATTACCGCCAAGCTTTGGAAGCATGCATCTAAAATGCATGAATTAAAGAATAACTCGTCATGTTTGAGAGCTGAGCTTAAATCAATTTTAGAAAGTGATGATGTTTTATCAAAAGAAGCCTCCTCAATAGATTGGAATGGACCAGAATAATTTAATGACACCATATCTTTTATTGCTTCGTATAACTCTGGTTTTTTTAAAGTTATCCAACTGCATTTCTCTTTAAGGCTATTGATATTGACCTTTTCTGGAACTGAGTTAAGTTTGGTAATTGAAAATCGACCCTGAGCAGACAATACCCATCTATCGATTTTATCATCTTTGAAATGGAAAACTACTCTATATTCATTTTTTGAGGATTGATAAATATTTGTTGAAAGAATTTGCTTCATTCCTTGAACTAAAAAAAATGGAGTTTTAAATTCTAATGAACTAATTGAGAGATCTTGATTTGGGAAACATTTCATTATTGAGTCTAAGTATACACACCCTGCTAAAAGAGTTTTATTTTTCGATTGATGACCCTTTAAATATTTAAATGGCTCCTCACCAATATCAATATATGAAGTATAGGAAATTAATGGTGATGATTCATTTTTAAATCCCAGTGGATTTAATGGTAACCCATTAACTCTATAAGATACAGATGCAGCACCTTGAGTAAAATAGACATCATCATCCCATTTATAGTGTGGTAAAACATATGATGCTTTCTTTGATTGTATCTTATCGTTGCTAGTTGGTTCCGATAATTGGTATTTAAAGTTTACTTTACAGCCATTACAATATAATTGAGCAATAGTTGCCCTAATATCAATCATATCAGTATTGGTCTTTCTATTTAATGATTGATGAACTGAAGTTGAGTCCGGTAGGAAATAATCTGAATCCATGGGGGCCATTTCCTTGATATAATATATCAATGTTGGGTTTGGTGATAATTCTAAAAACTGGACTCTATTACCAAGATTATTTGATTCAATAAATTTGAAGATGTTTTCGATAGCTTTTTGGAATAATACAGGTTTTCTAATGTTGTCATAAATGTAATTTGAATTAAACTGAGAATCTTGATCTTTAAATAACTCACCAGTTACTGTAGAGAATATTGGAATGAGTGGTTTTACTGATTTAACATCTTTGGTTATATTTAATACCTCATTCTTAATTATCTCTTGTTTTGATGAATGGAAAGAAGAGTTTGAACCCAATAATACTGAAAATAATCCTTTTTCTTTAATAGTTTGTGAAATTTCATTAAGTTCTGATTCGATGCCGCTAATGACAATGGATGATGGGGAATTGTAACAACTAATTTCAATATTTGGGTACTTTGATGAAAATTGATCTTTAAATTGCTTTTCATTTAAGCCAATAGCCATCATTTTGCCGGAACCATTTGTTTTACTTTGAAGTGTTGATCTTTGATAAGTAACGAAACAAGCAGTTTCTAAATCGATCATACCAGAACAGTAGGCAGCGGATACTTCGCCAAAAGAATGACCAACAATAATGGATGTCTTAATACCCCATTTACTGTAAAGTTCAAATAATGAAACTTGTAGCATAAAAATTGATGGTTGTGCAATGGTTGGATCATTGATTGAAATAGTATCGTTATCTTTGATAGCTCTTAATTTCGATAGAACAGAGTACCCATAGTATTTTGAAAGGAGTGAATCTACCTTGTCCATTGATTCTTTAAAAGTTGCTTCCCTGTTATAAAGTTTAGTAGCTTGACCATTCCATTGTGGGCCCTGACCACACATTACATAAACTATTGGTGATTGATTATTGTCTGTTATTTTGATATTACCAGAAACATTACTATTGGTCGAAAAAGATTCAGTTATACTAAAATCACCCCATTCACTGGCATCAAAAACTACTCTTTGAGATAATTCTGTTGGTTTTGAATAAATTTGATTGTAAACAAAATCTTTAAATGACATTGAATTTGAGTATAATGTTGTATTACCAAGTAACTCCTCTTTTATCAAATCAAGTGATTTCTTTGAATTTGCTGAGACTGGTATTAATAACTTTGTTTCGGATTTAAAACTTTTGGTTTTAATAGACTTATCATTATATTCACTTAACAACAATGATACATTTGAACCTATTTTTTAAATTTATTGATATTAGTAAAAAAAAAACTTTTAATTATTTTATCTATTACTTACCGGTGATACCAAAACTGTTAATTGCGATCGATACCAATTTATTTGGGAATGGTGTGTTTTCTTTACAAACCTTAACATTCCACTCATCAAATTTAATATTTGGGTTTGGTTTATTAAAGTTAATATTTTTAACGAACTGACGATGTTTAAGCATTAAACAACATTTTGCTAACGATGCAACACCTGAAGCTGCCTCTAAATGACCAATATTTGATTTTATTGAGCCAATTAGCAATGGATTTTCTTTTGATTTTACTGATTTAAATATATCTGAAACTGACTCAACTTCAATTGGATCGCCTTTAATTAAATTTTTTTATTAGTATATTTCTTTATGAAGTTTATCATATAATTATAGTTTTTCTTACCAATAGGTGTTCCAGTACCGTGTAATTCAAAGAAATCTATATCTGAAAAAGTGAGCGAACTTTTTTCAAAAGTCTTAATAATATTATTGGTTTGGGCCAACTTTGATGGTTTAATAAAGTTGTCTTTATTTAAAGAGCCGTCAACATTTGAATTGATGCCTCTAATAACTGCATAAATTTGGTCACATTCACTAATTGCAAGTGAAAGCTTTTTTAATATTAAAACTACAACACCTTCAGCACGAACAAAACCATCGGCAGATTCATCAAAAGAGTTGCATTTACCACTTTTTCCAAGTATACCAATTGATGAGAATGCCTTTGATATTTGTGGACTTAAAATAAAGTTGGATCCACAAACAACTGAATAGTTACAATCCCCATTTACAATGGATGAATAACCCAATTGACATGCATTTAATGAACTTGAGCATGCAGAATCCACTGTTAAGGATGGGCCATGGAAATCGAAACAGTAAGAAATTCTATTTGCCATACCTCCCAAAGTTGAGTTAAAAACATTATAATTTGCAATCTTATCAAAATGTTCAGTATTGACAGATGAGTAGTCGATTGTAGATGCACCAACATATACACTTGTATATGTACTACGGAGTGATATTGGATTTATACCAGCATCTTCAAAAGCCTCATAAGTTGCCTTTAATAATAGTTTTTGTTGTGGATCTAATTGTTTTGCTAAGTTTTATAAAAAAAATTTATTAAAAATTTATTATATTTTTAAAGGTAATGATTATTAAGCTTACCATCAGATGGATTGATACCAAAATGCATAGGATCAAAATTCATCCATTCTAAAATAATAAAAAAATTAGTATGAATTATAACACCATATTTATAAATAAAATTCTGCATACCCTCCAACTCTACTAACCCTGCATGCTTATTTGAAATTTCATTCATTTCATGAAATGAATCCGAGAATCTTTGATTCGTTTCTATAACACCATCAAAACCATTTAATAAATTTTCCCATAATTCTGATGGTCTATTTGAGTTACCGGGTAGTCTTAAACCAATACCGACAATAGCCACATCATTATTACTATAACTATTTGTTTCTAACATTTTTTAAAATAAAAATAACAAATATATATATTTTTTTTTAAAAAATTTGTTTATAAATAATAAAAAAAGGTAAACAAAAAAAAAATTAAAAAAAAACTTCTGTAAAAAAAAAAAATTTAATTCATTTAAATAAAAATTACCCTTTGTTAGCCAAGATAATCAACAAAAATGTGATTAATCACAAGAAAAAAAAAACTCGAAATCTTTTGATTGGATATCAAAAATGATATTTAGAAATTTAAAAAAAATAAAAAAAAAATAAAAAGTCAAAAAAAAGATTATTTTTTTATTTATCAAATTATAATAATGTAATAATTTAATATATAACTTATATAACTTATAATAATATATAAATATAAATATATAAATATAAATATATAGATAAATATATAGATATTATATAAATATATTATAAATATAATTAAAACAATATAATTTAAATAATATATCAATACCAAAAAAGGGAAATATTTCTTAATTAGATATACCATCAAAATGGTAAATATGCTCCTTTATTGGTTATTACCTTTATTATTACACAATTTCTTAAAAACGAATAAATAATTCTTTAATTTTTTTTTATTATAAAAATATTTTTTTGAATTTTTGATAAAAAAAAAAAAGTTTTTAAAATAATTTTTTTTTTTTTAAATTTTTTTTTTTTAATTTATTTATGTCCTTTTTTTTTTTTTTTTTTTTTTTTTTTTTTTTTCTCTTTCCTAAATCCTTTTATTTTTAAATATATATTTTATTTTGTTTATATCCAAGACAACAATATCGATATGTGATCATTTTGAAAAAAGACAGCAAAGAAAATAATTTAAAAAATTAAATTCGAAAAATAGTAGAATAAAAAACACACATCCCCACACCACTTAATAGTTTATTTTTTATTTTTATAATAATTATTTTAAAAAAAATTTTAAATTAAAATACAATTAAAATAATAATAAAAATTATATATATAAAATATTTAACTATAGAATAAAATAAAATAATAACAGTGACATAGTAATAATATCATCAATCTATAAATTATAATTTGTGATATAAAAATAAAATTTATAAATCTTTAATAACTATAATAGTATTAATAAAATCAAAATAAAATGAAATCATCACCATCATCTTCAGATATGAAATCATTTAATAAAACAAAAATCAAGGTTATATTAAAAAATGTGGTTGATCTTGGATTAAATCAAAACAAATATTTAATTCAATCAGATAAAAAAGTGTTATTTTGCCAACAAACCACATTTAAAAACGATTATTCAACACAATTTCAACATATTTTATCGCGTCAGGAATATAGCAAAATTATTGAAACTTTAAATTCAAATATAGATCCAATGCTATTCAAACTTCAAGTTAATAACTGGTTACTATTAATAGCGATTATAATGTTTCCTTGTATTATAGTGACATCAATATTTGCAAGTATGGGAAAAATATTTATACCCACCATTGTGGTTGGAGCCTTATCATGTTTCATTGGTATATTTGCGATTTTTAGAAAAAATTTTTTAGATTCAAAAGTAAAAATTTGATTAATAATATTAACTACATAACAATAGTTCACTAACAAAACCAATTGTTTATTATAGCTATCAGATAAAGTAACTAAAGATATTCAAACATTTAATAATAGATTTTCACATCGTCAAATCTCATTAGAATATTTAGTAACAACTATTTATTCACAAAATAGAATATCTTATCAAATTAATTTACATTTAATCTATCCAATTATAGCTGCCCATACACCTGGAATGTATTCATCTTCACAGTCATCAAATACGATAACACCACAATCTTCAACAAACAGTTTATACAACAGTATGGGTAGTGGTATAAGTAGTGCAGGAAACATTAATAACTCTCCACAATCAATTTTATCACCAAGTTATCAATATATAAAACAAGAACAACAACAAAGCATACCAATTTATAACCCAGTAACAGGTAGAGAATATATCTATTATAATAATAATAATGATAATAATAATAATAATAACAATAATATTAGCAATAATAATCGACATTATACTAGTGTTAATATAAATGAAGACCAATATTATGATGTTGACAATTCGAATGAGAACTCAAATCTTTTAAACCATAAAAATATTAATATTTAATGTTTAATAATGTACATAAAAATAAATAAAAACTTTCCGATTAAACTTTATATACAAAAAAAAAACTTATTTTTTTTTAAAATCATTTATTTTTATTTTTTTAATTTTTTTTAGCATGTAGCAGAATTATAACTGTGTTCATGTAAAAAGTTAAAATTACGAAGACAATTAACGCTAACATCGTAAGTGTAACAAGTGGCTGTGCCATTGCACTTTTCCATAGTTGCTGATTTAAAAAAAAAACAAGGTAAATAATTAGTATGAACCCATCTTTTAATAAATTTAAAATATACTTACGTGTGTTATATGAACAATAAAAACTTAAATAATGATCTGGAGAAAAATGAACAGTGGTATCGTTGGTGTAATAGTAATAAAATTGTGGAGCAGAGTTACAGGTTGATTCTGCATAAGTTGAATATTTATAACCATAAATTGGGGTGGCCTGTGGTGGTGCAACTGAGACTTTAACATAATTAGCAGCGGTGAAATAGTCGTTGTTAGCATAGGTTGGAACGTTATAGCAATTTCCAGTTACATATTCTACATCATAACCATTCATTTTATTTGAACAGGTTCCATCTTGACGATTATATTCTGAAATTGTTACATTTCCATGGTTATCATAAAAAGCTAAAAAAAAATAAATAATTAAATTAATATTTAAAAAAAACAATCTAAACAATAACTTTATAAATACCTTGGAAATTATGACCCATAAATGCATATGCACCGATTGCAACACATTGGCCTACTTCAAATGCAAATCCAACACCTGATACTTCTCCTGTACAATCTGGAGTTTGGTATGGTTCCATATACACATATAAAGTATTACTAATTGCACTATTAAATAAAAGTGCTATCGTTAAAATTAAACCTACTATTATTTGAATCTTCATTTTATTTATATTTATTTATTTTTTTTTGCTGTTTATATATATCAATCAAAAATTTTTTAATATATATTTTAATTTTTTATAAAAATTTATAAAAAAAATTAAATTAAAATATAAAAAAATAAATATTTAGATATTTACTTTTTTTTTAGGAAAGATCATTAGATTTTTAAAAAATAATTAAAATAAAAATAAATTATTAATTTTTTAGTTAGGGCAGGAAACATCATCTAACACCTCATCAATTTTTAAAAATTAAAAATATCTTTTTGTTTGAATTTCTACCTTTCTAGAACCTAGGAAAAAAATAATATATTTCTAAAAAAACTTTATTATTTTTTTATTATTTTTTTTTGTAAAAAAAAAAAAAGTAAAAAATAGTTTTTATTTTATTTTTTATTTTTTTTACATTACACAAAAAAAAACATGGGTGCAGATAGTGATAAAGAACCATTATTAGGGGAAAATTCACCATCTCCACCAATTTATACAAATAATTTTAATACTTTTGATATAAATAATTTTAAAAATAATAATATTAAAAATAATGTGTCGATAGCACAAATTATTATGGCTCCTGATAATAATGGGCAACCCTGTATGGCGATTCCTATGGCTAGGTATAAAGTTAAAGCCGATTTAAATTGTGTGGGTAAATTTAAACAATTTAATGATACCTTTCCAATAGAATTATCTAGTTTATTTACAATAGTGGAATATGAAGCTATTGTTTTAGAAATCAATAAAATTGTAAAACCAAATAAAATTCCGATAATACTATCCATCATTTTTCAACTTTTCCTTATAGTTCCTCTTATCTTTTTTGCAATTACAAATTATTTACCTTTTTTATATTTATCAATTGGTTTACTTATTGTGGGTGCAACCATAGTTGTTTTTGTTTCAATTACTTTATCTAAAAGAGTATGTATCTTGTTTTTATAAATATATAAAAAATAATATAACTAATTCATTTTTTTTTTTTTTTTTTTTTAATTTAGATGATTAAAAAATTGGAAACTCACGTAACCCAATTAAATAATGATTATGCTACTAAAAACATTATTTTTCAACTTCAAAGTAAATATTATTCAAATTCTGGTAAAAGCTTTTATGTTAAATTATTCATATTATATCCACCATCAATACAAACACCTCAATACCATACCACTATTGATATATTAGCGTCCCCAGCCTATAATGGCAGTACTCCCCAATAACATTACTTAAATTTATTTTTAATTATATATTATAATAAAAAATTGAATTTTGTTTTTCATTAAATTTAATCTTTTTTCTTTTTACTTTTTTTTTTTTTATTTTTTTGAGTCCAAAAAAAATAAAAATTTTTATTTTGGAGCACCAAAATAAGAAACTTAATTATAACCAGTTTAGATTATTTATCTCAAATAAATGAATAAATAAATATTTACCCAGGTTGTTAATAAAAGTAATCCTTAACAATATTTTATTATTCAAATAAAAAAAGCAATTAAATTAAAGTTGTACAACTTTATTATTATTTTTTTAGTATAACTCAAATTTTTAAATTTTTTAAATATTTTTATTTTTTTTTTATTTTATTTTATTTTTTTTTATTTTTTTTATTTTTTATTTTTTTATTTAAAAAGATTTTTGTTTTATCTTTTCTTCATATTTTTCCGTGCTACATTAATTAATACACATAAAATAATAATAAAAAAATTTACATATCAAATAAATAAATATTAAAAAAAATAAAATAAAAAAATAAAATAAAATAAAATAAAATAAAATAAAATAAAATAAAATAAAAAAGATGGGTGTCGAAACAAATCAATCAGAGGATAATTCTAAACAACCATTATTACAACCACAACAACCACAACAACAACCATTACAAACACAACAAATTTATTCACAAAATGGTCTCCTTCAACAACCATTAGTACCACAACAACAACAACAACAACAACCACCATCAACAGTTTTAATACCAACAGGTAGTAATGGACCATATATTGCTTTACCAATGGCTAGATATAAAGTAAGACCTGATTTAAATTGTGTCGGTAATTTCAAAAAATATAAAACTTCATTCCCAGTAGAATTATTAGGAACATTTACAAATCAAGAATACGAATCAATTATCAACGATATCAATAATATTGTTAATTTTAATAAATTACCAATAGTTTTTGCTGTTATCTTCCAGTTATTATTCATCGCCCCCATTATCATCTTTGCCTCTATAAACAATTTACCTTTATTATATACTTCAATTGGCTTTAATTTTTTAGCTGCAATTATTGTTATTATAGTATCTATTTCTTTACCAAGAAGAGTATGTAATATAATATAGTTATTTTACCTTATAATACTGAATTAAATTAAATTCTAATATCTATTTTATAATTTTTTTAGATGGTTAAAAAGTTAGAATGTCATATTGCACATTTAAATAATAATTATTCTTGTAAAAATATTAGATTTGAAATTGAACCAAAATATATTTCAAGATCTGGTAAGAAGTTCCATGTAAAACTATGCATCAGATACCCACCAGTTATTTTAGCTCAAGCCCCACAAATGTATTATAATGCACCACAACAACAACAACAACAACAACAACCATTACAGCCACAATACCAAACTGTCCCAGTATATGTTTCACAACAACAACAACAACAACAACCATTACAACAACAGTATTATCAACAACAACAACCACAATCATATTTAAATAATGTTGATAATAATAATTAAAAAACCCTTTCTAAATTAATAAAATTTCCTTTTTAAAACTAAAATATCATATTTTTATACCTCATTACAACTTTTATTTTTCACAGTGAATTGTTTTAAAGATGCATTATTTTTATTTTTATTTTTATTTTTTTTTAGTTTCAAATAAAAACTTTTTTGGTCTATTGTTGTGCTGTTTCTTTTGAATCTTTGATCATATTCAAAAATTTTAAGAAATATTTTATTATTATTTTTTTCTCATAAAAATTAATATAATTTTTTTTTTTATTTTTTTTTTTTTATTTTTTTACTTTTTTAATTTTTTAATTTTTTTTAATTAAAATTTTTTTAATTCATTTTTTTTTTTTATTTTTATTTTTTTTTTTTTGCTTTTCATTTTAAATCACAACTTCTTCATCCAGAACTCTAATTTATCTGTATATAATTAGTTTTATACAACCAAATAAATAATTTTTTATTTTATTTTTATTTTTTTAATTTTTTAATTTTTTTTAAATAAAAATAGTTTATTTTAAATAAATTTTATTTTTTTCATTTTTAAAAAAAAAAACACAACACAACACACCAAATAAATTTAGTTAATATTTATTTATTTTATTATATATCTTTACACACAATATACACACATCCAATAAACTAAAGATGGCCAACGCAACCAAACGTTTACAAAGAGTAAGTTTATCAAAGTTATAATTATGAAAAAAAAAAAAAGTTTAAATAGAATTTAGAACTTCACCAAATTTCTTTTCTTTCTTTATTTATTTTATAATAGAGGAAACAAATATATTAAACTTCACCAATTTCTTTTCTTTTTAAATAGGAATATACAGATTTAGTTAAAGCTCCACCAACATGGGTCAATGCTTCACTTGTAGGTGATAATTTACAAAAATGGAAAGCCTCAGTTCAAGGTCCAGTAAGTAATGATAATATAAAACATATATATTAAGAGTTACACTAAGTTCTAATAAAAACATTATTACTTATATTACAGGAAGGTACACCTTACGAAAAAGGTACTTTTAACATTGATATTGATTTCCCAAATGAATATCCATTCAAACCACCAACTATTAAATTTATCACTAAAATTTATCATCCAAACATTAATTCAGAGGGTCAAATTTGCGCTGAAGTTTTTTCAAGTTGGAGTCCACAATTAAAAGTAACTGATGTTCTCAATACCATCCGTTCAATTCTCGTTGACCCAAACCCAGAAAATCCATTAGACGCAGAAATTGCTCAAATTTTCAAAACTGATAGAAATGCTTTCAACAAAACTGCCAAGGAATATACTAAAAAATATGCAAAATAAATAATTATCTTTTTTTATTTAATATATAAAATATTAAATATTGTATAAATAAATAATAAATAATAAAAAAAAAATAATAAAAAACAACTACAGTTTAAAGATTTTTTTTTTTTATTATTAACAAAAAATAATTATTATTTTGTAAATATTAATTTAAGAGCATCAAATTTTATAAATAAACTTTATACAAAAATAAAATATATTAAATAGTGTGCACATTTTTTTTTTTAAATATTTACAAAGGTTTATTTTTATTTTTATTACCACCCATTTATACTTGATATTTTATTTTCGTTCTCAAAGTCTATATCATTATATCCATAACCTCTAATAGAGTCATTGATGGCTGAATCATGGCTGTAAAAAATATGTTCCGCTGGAATCATAAAGGATTTTCTTCATCTTCTTCTTTCTTGATTTTGAATATAATTTTTTTTGTTTGTTATAATAGTTCTTTTTTTTTAGATCTTTTAAATCTTGAATTGTAGGTACTATTGGTATAACCTATTACTGTTATAATCTTT